TTTTCTAGGATTAAAATAAAAGGTACAAATAATTTTTTGAAAGAAGCTCAGGTACATTAAAGTTCTGGTAATGTATTTAACTTTTTATTTACTAGTACTAAATAGAAGTTAAAGTTTACAGTTTGTTTTGATTGAACTATTTGTTTTAAAAACAAATTTGTTGCAATTTTTAAAATTTTGGTTAGGTTTTCATTTAAATTCTATTTATCATAAATATTAAATAATTACTTTAATTTATTTGGTTAATACTTTTATGTTAAGTATGTTATTTTTTTCAATATTTTTGTTCATTAATTATTTTATTTTATATAATTTACGAGGTGTAAAGAAGCTATTTTATTTCATAATCATTTTTAGACTTCTATACTCGTTTATAAATGTAGTATTTACAAATTCTGTTTTCACATTAAATTTCACAAGGCTTTTTTTAAATAAGCTAGGTCATAAAAATTAATCAACTCAATTTAAATACTTGTTTATTTTCAAAATATTTAACTAGACTCTTAAATATTAAAGCATATAATATAATATTGTCAAACTCGAACATTGACCATCAAGTTCATGGACACTTACGCCCTGCTTCACAGTTGCAGCTATAAACTCAGTGCAAAGAAGAATCAGTTAGATTAATATCATGTAACTAATATAATATTAACTATAAAGTTTAATAAATTGATCAGATAAAAGCAATTTTATAGATGTGAAATAGAATAAATAAATACGATAAATATTTGTAACTCATAATGCCAACCTCTATTCTATTGTTTTATTTCTACATACCTGTCAAAGATAATATGCAACTACGTAAATGCAAATATATTTTTCAAATGTTTTATATAAATATATATATAATTTACTAAAAACACTGTTGTCGTTTTAATTAACTATATAAATAACTAGTAAAATTAAACTAAATCAAGTGTTGCAAGAATTGCTATAAAAACATATATATAAAATTCTGGTATTATAATGAAAAAAGTTATTATTACAGCAACTATTAAGTTATTTAAATTATTGACTGCGGTATGGTGGATGTTTTAATAGCATAAGGGATATTTGTTTTAAAAAGATAAGATAATTGTTAAAAAATGTTATTGGAAGCATAGAAAAAATAGTAACATCGAACGAAGGGTTGCAGAAGATGAAATATCAATATAAACGATCAAATATTCGTTAGAAATATAAAAATTAATGTTTTTTGAAATTATATTATCGAGATATCATGATTAATGTAAAGTAATTGCAAAATTAGACGTAGTCATGATGATTGGCTCGAACATTTTCATGGTACAGTTAATTATAGTTTACTTTTAGTATGATAAATTGTAGGAAAGTTACTTCTAAAACAGAAGACCTGCAATTAGTTACAATATACAGAATTTAACAAGTAGTATATATAAACAATAATCAATATTGTGAAAACTTGTAAATTTTTATTAAAGAATTCATTCGCGTGATTTGATAAGAATCATAGATGTAGATAACTTTTTTTAACAAAAAGATCTTTTTTGAATTAACTTTCTTAAATTTATGAATTTCTGACACTATTGGTAAACTTTATAGTGGATAACTCTCAGTTCACAGGTATTATTGAAATTACATATAACAAAATGGAGATGCAAACATGTATATAGACTAAAGATTTCCAAATCAATTTATCATATATTAATATATATTCATATTGTACATATTCATATTTTTGATTATAATTATTTCATTGATTATGATGATGTTTGATGGCTTCTTGATATTTGAATGTTTTCTTGATTTTATAACAGATTATCTAATGTAAAGATAAAAAGAGTTGAAAGTGTACATAAATGAGAGCGATGGGCTTACATTAATTTATTTTAATTATATTCATTTTATTGATTAATCATCATTCATTTTATTCATTGATCAATCAACATCACTGACAACATTTATATTATATATATTCAAGAAGTTGTCAACAACAAAATAATGGTCCTGGTTATAACTGATAGAGATGCGAGAATAGATTTGATCAAGAGTATAAATCATTTCGAAATTGCAAGAATTGAGAATAAAAAATTAATTTGAGAAACATTTTTCCACATACACACAAATTTTGATTATTTAATATATATGAATATCTTCCCAATAATAAAAAATTGACTCTTCTACTCATTATATATTAGAAATTAGTATTATCCATGAAGAAGTGTTCTATATATAAAAAAAATTTCAAGAATATTATAAAAGTATTTGCAATGGTCATAAATAGGTATAAAATAAAGAATATTAATTTGAGTAAGTTATTTAGTAATCTTATTTCTGTAACTCTAATAGATTTATAAAATGTAATGGTTTGATTAATGTCTATAATAATATCAATGATAAAAGTAATAGAAATATATAATATTAAAATTATTAATATTTAATTTTTGAAAATAATTTGTTAAACAAAATCGTTTTTTTATATATATAATTAGAAAATTAACAATATAAAATTATACTATTGTATAATAAAAAAATTTTTATTATTATAAAAGATATTAATTTCAAAAATTGTGGCTTTATCAATAAGTTTAAAAAATAATAAACAAAGTATAATTATATATTTAATTATAAATAATATATAACTGAAGCTGGAAGAATGGTAATTTTTTCAATATTTTGGATTTCAAAGAAAATTCTTAGCGTCATTCAGACTGAGTGTAGGTGTTTCAATCATGTTACCTCTTCCTGATTTAAAATAGATAAATAAATAGATATATGATTAGAAAACAAACGCATATTTAAGTATACTAACTAATTGACTGTATATTTATAATTATTGAATTAAGCTGTTTTTATGAAATATTCATTACAAAATCCATTTTCAAAAAAGGTAAACAGATACTAAATTGATTATATTATGTAACATTTATTTACATTATCAAAATGGTTGATAAATATATAACAATTAAATTTATTTTGTAATATATTATATAAATTACTTATGTTTTATTATAATTATGTTTCATTGAGCATTTTAATTATACAGATAGTATTTTTTTTAATTAAATAACTAATTAAATGTACTTCAAAATATGAAACACACTGTGTACGAAACACATCCAATTTTTTTGGGTCTCCATGTCATCAGCAATTTCAATTTTATAATTAGAAATTCATATTATATTTATTTAATTTAATAATTTATTTAATAATTATTTAATAGAGACACAACTATAATATATAAATAAATTATAATATAATAATTATAGTATTATAAAATCTAATCATATTTTGTATTCAAACTACTTGAATAACAAATCAATTTTATCTATAATTATTCGATTTAAAATAATAATTCTAACGAATTTAAGTATAAGAAAATTATATTTTTAATTTGCACGCGAAATTATATAATTTTTATATATGCATATACACATTTACGCATATGTATATATGTATAATTTTTTTTAATATAGTGTATTTGTCAATAATTACTGTTTATTTATATAATTACATTAAAATTATAATACAATCTACAAGTATAACGTTTTATAATAATTCATACATTTTTGTGAATGTAACTATTTTTCTATCGAAATAAATAATTTAAACAATGAGTCAAGAAAATAAATCTTTAAAGTATCAACTAATACCAAATTCGTAAAAATTTACGATTTACTATTTTGTTAAAAATTTATACGAGTTATTTATTATAATTTATTTTAATGTTGTTATAACTACAAATCATAAGTTCATGAATACTAAAAGGTCAAATCAATGAAGTCAAAGAAAATGTAGAATTACAAATTGTACATAAATATTACTCTTTTTTATTACTAATTTTTAATGAGATAACGAAATAAAAATTTTAGTGCTTAAAATTCAGTTAAAAATAAATAAAATCGTAGTTATAAATTTTTTATAGGTAATACGTACAACTGTACTCTTAAATAATCGATGTTATTGAATCTTAAGTATATTCTATTGCTAACTAATTGACGGCAAAACATAAATTTAGGTAAAGGTATTTTAATGCAGTTAAAAGTTCATCAGTATTCTTTTCTTCCTGATACTATAAAATTTAATAATAATGCGAATTAATTATACTTTCATCATATTCATTGTTATTGCTATTATTCAAATAATATTTAATAGTCGAAAATTGAAATTAAAAAATTCATCTGAGTTAATTAGTTTTTATAAATTATATGTTTATCTATAATAATTCATCATTCGACTCAGTTAAAATGTCAATCAACTTCATTTGATATATACTCCTTCACTCTGATGAAATATACCATTTTTTTTATGAAGGTCCAAAAACATCCCTTAAATATAAATGTATAGGCAAATATTAATATGTCTCACTGTGATTAAACAAAATATTTTTGTTTGTTTATGCAATATAAATATAAATAAATATTTATTATGGTAAATAAAATTTTACAAATGTAATGCTTTTTATAATTTTATAACAGATGTGAATAATTGTAATTGGTAATAAAATAATGTATTTTAAAATGTTTCTATGAATTCTGTATTTTTTTATTACGAAGTCAAAAAAAGAATTTTTCATTAAAAAAATTGTTATTACAATATTAAAAGTTTAGTAATATATTTGTTAGTTATATTACTCAATTATATAAATTCATTTACTTAATGATTATCGGTAATTATATATTTTATATAATTGAATAAATTAATTTTGTTGTCTCTACAGAAAGTTAGGTTATAAAAGTGTAGGTTGCATTTAATTAAATTTGCTTAAATAATATAAGTAACACAAATAATGATATTGAAGTAGTATGAATATTTTTTGTATATAGGTATTGTTTTAAAAGATAAAATGACTGTCTAGTTATACTAATTTCATTTTTATCATTATTTTTTATTTATTTTTTCTTTAATATTCTTATCATTTAAGATATTTTGTGAAAGACTTAATAATTATTAATTTAAATTATAGTACATTTATAGACGAAAATTATTTCTCTTTTCAAATTACAAAATTACTTTCATATATAAAAAATTATTCGAGGTAAATTTATATATAGCTTTTATTTATTAATATCACTATGCACATTGTAAAACACTCCACGCTTGAGTATATTAAATGTAGACTTATTCTTGTATGAGTAAATTATATCTTTCCGGTTTTCATATAATATAATTAATATCAATGGGCGAATTAATTAAAAAAGTTCTATGATTATTCTAAGGCTTTTAGCGAATCCTTATCTGCTAACCCAATTATGTATCAACTAGATAATGTTGATTTGTGAATTATATTTAACATTTTGTTTTATTAAGGGTCATAGACATTTTCCAGGATTCTGTGTACACCAGTGTGGCCACATTGCTTCTGTTCTTATGCCTCTAGAGCGTAATAATTCAATATGTACTGCTAATCTAGTATAGACACTCTCGTCTGTTGAATATCCATTAGATGGCAAGTCGCTCCTAAAATCATAATTATACTTAATTTAAAATCATTTTTGACGCGCCAATATTTTTATTCAATAAATATTTTTTAGAACACATTAAAATTATAAACGATAAGTTTGTATGTTTTGTGTTTGTAGTTTATCAGATTTTAAATTCTAATAAAGAAAACAATAAATTCATGATACGTTTGATATTTAAAGAATCTTTAACAGTACTAAACTAAAGAAAGGAAGTATTTGTCTTAAATCAAGAAAAGAAGTTTATAAAAAATTTCTTTAATTCCTAACAAGATTGCCATTATATATAAACGTAAAAGCATTATTTATATGATTGTGCGTTTTTATTATGATTTTATTAGCTATGTCTTTAAGGTATGTAAAGTTTTTGTATGTAAAACTTTAATAATGTTCAGATGTAATATTTCCCACAAAATAAAGATATTTAATAAATACAAAAATATTGTAGATAAATTTAAGAAGAGTAATCAAAAGAAGAATCAACGCGAATAAAAATATAATAAATAATTTGAAATAAAAGAATATTTTTAAATTAAGGGAAGTGTTCAATAATAGGAAATTATTTCACATTCAATAAATTATTTACAGGTTTTATAAATACATTATAAAATCTATAATTTCGTAGTCCGTTGAATTCATTATTATAAAACATTAAGATTTGGACATTAATTTGAAATATAATTTACCATAATCTTTCGCCGAGAGCCGACGCCCTGGGCCATAGTCGAGGTCCAAGAGACGCTTGTCCCAATTGCTCGCTCCAAATGGTGGCCTCTCCACCCAATAGTAAATGTTGCTGCTGCAGGGGATAATCCCTCCATGGTCTGTGATTGTAAACAGTTTGCCAGGTGCGATACTCCCCGCAAGCAGCTTCTCCAGCTTCACGCCACTTACCAAAACCACAATCTAAGTACCAAGCGTCAACATGCGACAGAATGACACGAAAGCCATCCTCTAAAAGGTCTGGTGTATCAGGCCAAGTGCTGCCACCCCAAGACTGTATTACATGGATCGATGAATCAAAGTATTGCGTAACGTATGGCCGTTTAGTCAGTGGTGAGCTCCAGAGAATTACAGCCTTTGGTGCTTCGCCGTGATTCGCCTTAATTAATCGCTTTGACATTTAATTGATTTAAATAAAGTTAGAAATTTAATCATTTTCAAGTCAATGTTTAGTTTACTAAGTTTACAAAGTAAAATAAATAAAATCTACGATTTAGCTCCTGGATATATCAATTAATTATATCGATAAATAACATTGGTAAATTTGTAACATTTAAAATTCAGAAACTTCTTTTTCTGTATAAAGTTAGTAACTCTAATTAATAAAAAATCAATTATCATTTTAATACTCACAATCTAATTAAATAGTTTGTGATATCTAAAAAATTATAGTATTACTTTCTACATGTTACGAATTTGTATCTTAATTAAACAAAGTATATTTCTTGGTATAAAATATTTGTAAACATCATTAAAATAAGCTTAATGAAATTAATTCTGAAAAAAACAATAATGTACTACAGTAGAAAAATATTTATTTTGCAAAATTTAAAAAAAAATAATTATAGAAAAGTATACAATTTATTGGAAAGATATTTTAATAAAATTACAGTAGAGTTTATTGCATGTATTGAATAACTTATAATGAACAAAAAACGAGACATCTTTCCAGTTGCCTCTTTTTAATTTTTTTTTTTAGTTTTGTAATTTTTCTAATTAGTAACCATTAATATATAATAACGAAAGTGAGATGTTTCTTAAATAATAAATCAAATCAAGCAAATAATTTTAAATGCAATCAATTTTCTTTAAAATTATTTAAAAAGAATAGAAATAATGAAAATACATTAAAAACTAAAAGTAGTATAAAATTAAGAAGTATAAAAAAGCATAAGAAGATTCTTCCATGTGTAGTCAATTGAGTGAAAAAGCAAATATATGACAAAAAGAAACATATTAGAGAGTTTGACTCTATTTTAATGTCCAATATAACAAAAATTTTAAAAATAGACTTACAGAGTATAGTTTCTTTTCAAAATCAGCCCACAGCACGTGGTAGTCCGTTATGTTTTGTGCTTGCATAGTTGCGCTAATATTACTATATTGGGCCCAACAATCGAGATTGACTTCGTCACCACCAAGATGAATTATATCTCGTACTCCTGTTAAATCGAGTAGTTCTCGATATAGGCTTTCCAGGATTTTATACGAGTTTTCATTAATGGGATTGAGTTGACCGCAATTTGGTTCGCCACAATATGCTGACCAAGGCTGTTGATCTATACACAGAGCAAGTTCACCTAATCCACGTTCCAAACCTGTCATATATATTTACATAATTAAAGTTTTGATTATCTTGTATGAAACAAAAAATAGCTGTCGCTGATAAGTTTCAATTCCTATTTTACATTGACTCGATGTTTACATAGATTGTTTATATACAAATGTTTTTAAATTATAACTTGCAACTAGCTAAATCTGAATAATTGTATACGACATTATTTATTAAGACTTTATGTTTGATTATTGAAAGAGATAATTAATTTATCTAATTGTCATTTTATATTTTCATATAAATTCATTATTACAATTAAATATTATTGAATATACTTTATTTTATGAATAAATGTTAGCATAATGGTAAAGCTTACTTTAATTGTAGTTAAAAATGTATTATTAATTTCCTCATTTATCTTAAATCTTTCAAATTTTTTGTATTATGTTGCTTTGAATAATTTACAATTGGTATTTTAATTATAATTTAAATAAAAAATTAAATTATTATAAATACACTTTTTAAAATATAACTAGTTGACGATGATAATAAATGAACTTGATGGATTAGTGACTATAAATAATTGATTTTAAATTATTAACAAATATATAAATATTTGTTGTACAAAAGTATCTTAAATAAATAAATAATGTATATTAAATCCAATATTACATAATATTCTTAAAGTCACAAGTATTAAATTTACAGTGGTGAATACAGGATCCAAAACGTGGATGTTATGTAAAATAGGTATACTTATTATCTTTGTTATTTCACAGATTAAGAGCGGATAAATACATTGTGAAATAATTCAAAAGTTTCATTTATATAAATTTCAAATATAATTTTTAAAAATTATATAAATTCATCAGCGAAATAACTTAATAATAAACTATTATTAATTATAAAGAAAATATTAAGATTCGTGTATAATATCAGACATCGTGAATATTTGTATCCAATTAGTCGCTCAAAATTTGTAATGTCGAAATAATAATATTGAGTGTAATATCTATATTGGGATAATATATAGATACAAATACATATATATTGTTTATTTCTGAGATATTTTGTTATTGTTTAGTTTATTATTTGCGAGTTTAATGAAGTTTTTTTCAATGATATATTTTATATGCAAAATTCATTAATATATAAATATGATTGAATGAAAAACCAAAAGTATCATTAATTTTGTTGAATGTTTATAAAACAATATAATATTAAAAAAAAGGTTTCAAAATACACTTAATCTACTTTTAAAAAAGTAAAATTATTAATTATTAATGAACATTTGAAATGTTTTACAATTACCAAATTGTAACAAAATAAATTAAATTTATTGCAGCACTTTATGTTAAATTAATTTATAGTGCAAACAATTGAGTTTTATAAATTCTATATAAATTAACGTAAACTATAAAAATATTTGAAATATAATGAAATGCAAATTGAAATTTTAATGAAATAAACTATTTTTTACTGAAATAAATAAAACATGAATATAAATATTTTTTCAAGTAATACGATTAAAAAATGAATCAAAATTATATAATTTCAGTAAATTATATTCATTGACTTTGTTCATAAAAATTCCTAAAATAAAATTATTAGAGGGCAATTACTTTATAAAAAACTTCATAATTTATAATAGTCAATGATATTAAATCTAATTTTTATCCCATGAATATCATTAAACAAATCAAGAACGAAATATCATATTAATTCAATACAGCTATTTTTTAAGTACAGATGTTGATGATTTTAATTAATTTTTTAAAATAATAAAAATAAATAGAAGCCGAACAAGAATTTTCTGTAATACCTGTATTTGGCTATAACCACATTATTGTAATGTATTGGTAAGTTAGATAAAAAAATACTTTACTTGTTAATAAATATTTATGAGTAGTTGTAGTACACTCAATAAAATATAATTTTTGTCAAGTATTATGGGCAAATAATTTGTTTCAATAATTATATATATATACATTCGGCACATACTCTAAATGATCACATACATGACTCCTTTATTCCAAGATTATTTTAGAAATTAATTTCCTATTAAGTAGTTTGTTGTTTTAATGGTGTATAGTATACAAATAAAATAAAACATAATCTGAACACTTTATAAAATGTATAATTTTTTTATATATAGAATAGTCTATATTTGTATACATATATATAATTTTATTGTGCAAATTTATATATGTTTGTATTTGCATTTTTTTAACGTGAGTTGCCAGGACGGGGAGTATGTTATAATAATTGTTTACACACATTAATAGATGAATTTTAGACGTTTCTATAATTTGAAGACAAATTATTAATCTTATATCTTTACAACATTCGCAACTCAGTTATAGTTTTTCTTATCAGATTCAAACAAAATTCTTATAGTTTGTTATATATAATATTGTATTATAAACTCACTACATTAACAGTTTTTAAAATATTAATATATCCTTTACAGATTTATTTAAAATTTAAATGTTAAAAAAGTTGTGAATCATTTAAAAATTAAGTAAAATTATTAATTAGTATATGCTCTAAACAATTAGTAAGATAGACAAAAACAATAAAAGCGAAAATAATATCGTAAATAGAAATATTTAGACAAAAAATACAGACCCCATTGCCAACCAGCACCAGCATGAGCTGGTGAATCAATCTCAATTAAGACTCTGATTCCTCTGATTCTAGCGTACGTCACGAGTTCTTTTACGTCTTCAGGTGTATAAACTTCTTCTCCACTATAAGCGCCCCATCTGGCCATCTCTGGAAATTGAACTGACTCATAGGGAAAACTCTGCGAATCGGTTAAATGCCAATGAAACGTATTTAACTTCGACGCAGACATACCTAGAGAAAGAATCGTTCATTTTTTAAAAAAATTAATTTACGGCTTTTTAAATAATGGATATTTTAACCAGGCTAAGATATTTGATTGTACGTGTATAATAAAAAAATTACCATAAAGAGTTGTAATTTTCGTCTCATAATGAATACTAATTTTAAAGTTAGAATTTCTATTTCGTAGTCGAAGATCTGATAGTAGTTTTAGTTAAATGCTTAAGTAAAGTTAATGAAGGTAATTCTATTCTACTGCTGAAAATTTAAGAATATTCATTTTTACAAAAATTATTTAATTTTCAGTGTAAATATTGCATTAAAATCCTTACTGTACATGTGTATAGAAATAAAATAATTTGAAATAAATAAACTTTTGTTATTAAAAATATTGAATTTAAAATTCTATATAATTTACTTTTATGTAAAGATAGATTAATTAAATAAAAATGTAAGTATACAATGTTAAAAATTTATTTAATTTTATATCATTTCTAATACTTAACAAATAAAAAATTCAAGAAATTTTAAACCAATTTTTAAAAATAATTATATAGATCAGATTAAATATTAATAATAATTTTGCCGTAAAATCATGAAAAATTTTGTTCATATTTATACATTATTTCTAATTATTCTTATATTTTTAATTAAAGTCTTTATATTAAACTATAAATATTATAGATGTAGATTAATGACGCGTATTCATTTTATATTTTATTATATTATATGTTTTATTTATTATAATTAATCGAATTGAAAAATCGTATAATAAGTATAAAAAAAGCGTACCATCTATCACACGTTTCAACTGTTCGAGACTAAAGAATTGTCTACCGGTGTCGACCAGAAGACCACGATATGAAAATACTGGTTTGTCTTCGATGCTCGCTTGTGATAAAACTCGTAGGCATCCTTGTCTACCACAATTTTCATCCCACCAAATCATTTGCGAAAAAGTTTCAAGGCCATGTCGTACACCATAATAAGATTTCCCAATAATTCGTACCTGTAACATGTTTCACTTACTACACTTTTTTTTACTAATATTTTAATATTCTTTAAGATTGATTAATTATTAAATTGAAATATTACTAATTTATGTTTTAAATACAGTTTTCTTAAATATAAGAAAAGTTGGAAGAAATTTAGTTTTGGAGATTGATAACAATTTAGATATTTACTTTTGTGTTTAATAATTACTAGTATATAAAATAATAATTTTATGAAAAATATTTGTACCTCTAGATGTTTGCCTTTTGTAAGTACTTGAAGATGATATGATTCATCAGTGTCTAACGATAATTGTGTATTAGAAGCTGAACCAGCACTAATATAGATGATAAAACTATCAATTGCTGAGCGACTTTTGGCATTAGATACTCGCATTAGGTTTTTTACATTTCCTGAATATAATATATTTTTAGTAAATATAAGCAAATGAAAAAATTTCATAATCATATTAAAAAGAAATAAAATTCTGTATGATCGAAACAATCATTTTAATAAGCTTAATATCAAGCTAAATTAAAATAAAATTCGATTTCAAACAATTTTTATTATATAGATGTTTATTGTTTATTTAATCTTAATATTTAATAATATAATTCACAAATTACTATAAATTTATAAATGTAATTATTATTAATAAATCAACAAATATCATTAAAATTCAAAGAATTTGTAACTGTTTAACAAAAATATATTTAATATTGATTATTGAAATTAGTCATCTGATTTCTATTGATAAAGAATTTTACTACAAATATTACAGTTTATGTACAAGATAACCGAGAGCTGTATTCCTCATTTTTATATAATACATTTTACGTAAAGTCTATTTGTGAAGAAACATACTTATGGTAACAGAATGAAGATTTACTCTTACCCAAAAATACATCCTTAGCGTGTTCTAACAGATTTTTTACTTCTTGATTACTGGTATTGACAGTAGCAATTTCAACCTGCTGCCAATGAAAAACGACGTTTTCAGAGCGAAGATCAACGAGTCCAGTAGGCCTTGGCCAGATCAATCGCGTATTACCTCCGCATAAAGCTGAACATGTCGAAGAAGATATTCGTGAGCTGTGTACTGCACGCCTCTCGCACCTTCCAGATACACATGCCCATGACCATGGGCTTTGGAAAGTTCTGAAAACAATTTTTTATTTAGGAAGCATTTCCCATGTCTCTTCACTCGCTCTATTGCGTTTTCTTTTCTCCCCTCTTACTCTAACTCTCCTTTTCTCTCTGTTTAGACGCATACAAGTTCCAAATCCCTACTAGTTTTATAAACTTCTCTTTCTCCACCGCTTCACTTGCTACCAACCTCTTTGAGGCTTTAATCAAAGAATTTTTATGTATTAATTATAATATATGTTTCGAATGCTAATATTATCTTTTACATACGTTATTTAAAGAGACTTACTATCATTATAACAGCCCTATAATAAAATAGTGAAGTGAATTTCAAATAAATTAAAATTTTTATAATAAATTAATTTTTTTTAACTAAATACGATTAAGATAATGCATTCAACATCAAATTCAAATTTGATAAATTTTGTATTTAGCTTTAAAAAAAAAATAAAAAAAGCTGCATTGATTTATTTCATATAGATTATATTATTTGCTATTATATTGATAAATAAATAACTGCGTAATTGTTCAGGATTGAACTTCCACCCTTCCAACCACACCTTGAGTGAATTCTCGCCACATTACCAATGACGGAGATTCAGACCTTCTCAGCATCTGCCATGGAAAAAATACGAATTCACCTCCGTGAAGCATTTAACAAAAGTACAGCATATAAAAGTATTGAAAGAATAATTCAAAGAGCCTACAAGGGACGAAAACAAAACGTACCAAGCAAGGATAGCATGTTGTATTTGTTACATCATCGGAACTCGCTCGCAATCATTCGAGAACCCTCTCTTAAGGAATTACCCAAGCCTAAGAAGAATTATAAACCTATAAAAAATACATGCCAACTCTGTCGCAACAAAGGCATCAAGTCCATTAATAAGACATACTCCACTCATCTTATCATACAAACAACAGCAGTATTGGATCTTAGCGGACGAACTTCAATATAATTTCACACTCTATGATGCATTACATATGCATGACAGAAAGGGAATCCATGCTCAACATTTAATGGGCCAATCACCTCTGTCTTAAGTAAATCATCAAACCGTTATCAAACGCAAGTGTTGACTATGCCAGTCGTTTTTTAACCATAAAACTCTAGACAGAGAGAAGTAAAATTTTGAGAGACGGAGTTATCGCGGCATTCCGACATATTTCAGAAGCATCCTATAAACTGTACACAATGTTCCCAAGAACAATAACAGACAGTTGAGACCATCTCTCTATGGGAATTCAATCCATCCGCTAAGCATCACATGGGAGGAATTTGGCAAGCAGTGGTAAACTCCGCCAAGAGATATAAGGTGCACCATTGAAGAAACGATAGTTGAAGAAATCACCACTCTGCTTGCCCAAATTGATACAACCATCAACACTGGTCATTAGACTGACCATTCAGCACTTACCGGACATTCGTAATTGAGAGTCTACTTACTACTATCCCAGATCTATCTCTAAAGGACTTGTCAATTTCAGAAACGACCCGCCGGAAGCCTATGAGCAAGTGCACAACAACTCCGGTTCACAGTGGTCGATACACTACAACAACTGTTAAGTTCAAAACAGCACTACCCATGGAATGAATTCCATGTTGGCTCATTAGTGCTCATTACAAACGAACGACTACTTCCCTGCAAGTGGCCACTCACCAGAGCAAGGGCAATTCACAAACTGGCAGTCCTACCTATCCAAAATAATGACGGGAATCATCAACTATAGTGCTGATGGCGGGCGGAATGTTCAGGATTGAACCACCCAACAAAAAATAAGAATTTATTGTTTGTTAAAATACGATTCCGATATATTACATTTAGATTAAGGTGCAATATTGAATTATACGTTAAAAAAATTCCCTGGAAATTTAGCCGCGTACTTCGTCCGCATAGCAACAAAAGAAGCTTTTCGAATTTATCAAAGCTTGCTTCCAGAGAATTCACTAAAGCCTCCAAGAGTTTATAACACTAAATGTACGCAATCGTATTTAAGAAGCAACGAACGGAGAAGAAAATCAGTCTTGTTGAATAACTCAAGTGAAACTAGTGCTAGTCATATCAGTGAAAGTTGAACTCGTCAAAGGGAATCCATGCAAGGTATCTTCATTATTTACTTTGATTATTCTATTATTATTATTATTATTGCTGGCCAGATATCGGTGCGTCCTCCGCAACGTGACGCTAGTCAGACCGCATTGAGGACGACCACACAGACTGGCATCTCCAGCACTTTATTCATACTACATGTAATTTTCGCGGCCCACGTCTACACTATCGGTTAGACCCTTGCAACTTGATTCTTATCAGACCGCAAAAGAGGGCACCGATACTGACTAGTGGTCCCCGCCAAATTATCATTACACTCGCGGGCCGCACCTACACTATCGATTAGGCCCTTGCAACTTGATTCTTATCAGACTGCTAAAGAGGGCGCCGATACTGATTGGTGGTCACGCCGCAACGAGTGGTTCTGATCCAACCACAAAAGAGGGTGTCGACAATCCGTAATAGTACCCACTACCTTCACGAGCCGAATCTTGCTCAGTAAAATCTATCGCCGATTCAAACGCCTAAGCAGTCGCGAGCCGGATAACGCTCAGTACATACAATTCTAACGCCGACTCAAGCGATTAGGCATTCATGAGCCGAACAACGCGCCACTAATTTTACCACCGAATCGAACGTCAAGCATTCGCGGGCCGAACAACGCGCCGTAAAATTGATTGCCATCAAGGAAGTCGCAAGCCCAACAGGGCTCCCCGAAAAGCCATGGTCGAATCTAATGTTTAATGATTCTCTAACTGGAGAGACTCGTTTAATTTAGGGACTAAAGCACGTGCCCAGTACTTCCAAGTTACCTTCTTAGACTTGCACTTCCAGATGACGTTTCAACTTAATGGATAACTTCCTAGTTACTGCAAACTCAACAATTCTTACCACAATCAGTACAACCAACATCACTGTAACAATTACTTAAATAAAGGTCACTAAAACCAATTGTGTTGGCTCTAAGTTAATGTATTAACCCCCCCCCCCCAATACCATTAAATCGGTGGTACGGTCTAATCCATCCACCGTGATCTGCGATCATACTGGTGGCTGGAATTTCAAACAGTTTTTTTTTATAAAATTGAATTTAATTTAAATTAATTTAAAAATAATTTAAAAAACTAAAATAAATAAAAAAAATTAATAGAATATAGGATATAAAATTAAGAAATATAGAAATAAAAAATTATATATATATATAATAGATTATATTATGCAGCTTATAACACTATTAATTAAATTTGTTTATACAAATGAATATCAATACGTAAATTAATTATATCTGCATTATTCTGCATATTTTTTATATTACAGTTATGAAATATTAATATTTATATTTTCGCAAATTATAAATAAAATTGCTATACATATACAAATTTGTTATACGTATAAATCATTCTCGATATTTGAATTTTACAAAATATAATCGTAACTATTGTTCTTAATTCATTAAAATAAGAATAGTATTAATTATATATTATAACAAACACATTACTGAAACACACACACACACACACACACACACACACACACACACACACACACACATAATTTCATTATATTTACTTATTATTATTTTACTTAATTTATGTATTAATTTACTAAATATTATAATATTTCATACTATAAGAATACCAATTTAATAAAAAGTATGACAAATTTAATAATGTATAATAAAAAACAGAAAGTTACTAAATAACAAGGAATTATATGTCATTGAAATTACGAAGGTATTTTGTAAACTTAAAATCAGTAAGTGGTAAAAATAGCTAATTAATTGGATAAACGTATAAAATAAATAATAAGAGTTGCTGACCTGTGTATGGTAAATGGTTGCAGAGAGGCTAGTGGTGGTGTATGTGCGAACATGGCGATGAGCAGGATTCCGGTCAGTATGACAAGAAAGAGAAGGATTCGTCTCATCCAACCACTAGGTACACTACCCACCATTCTTATGAATCTAATAACAGAATGTACATTCATTAGGATTAATTTAGTAATTTTTATTTAAAAAAATTTACCAAAATGACAACAAATTTCTAAATATATTTTGGATATTAAAGATTGATAGATCAAAACTACTATCATTTTTAACTTACTATTTTTAAGTTGAGACATATTAGGGTTCGTATATTTTGAAGTAAAATTGTTTTAATTTTTATGGGTTATCTATTATAATTGTTCTATTCTAGTTAATAAATGTTCATACTACCCGTTGACGAGTGATCGGTTTAATTAGTATCTGATAATATGACTGCTTATTAATATATCGTAAATTTATTAACACTTTATTTAAACCTTATTAACACTTCGTAAATAGTAAATTATATTCATATTATATTGCTTTTGAATATATAGTATCAATATTACTTTATTTAAAAAATCTTTGTTGTTTTCTTATTTGTAGTATTCGTAGATTGGTGTTCTTGACAATAATTAAAAAACAAATAGCTTTTGCGTCTTCGATAGTTCTAATGGTATAGCAGAAAAATCATTAATGGTATATATATGTATTCCATTCATACATATTTTGAACGTACTTTTATATTTGATTTTAGTCTATAGACTTACAGAATTGTTATTGGTCTATTTGAAAGATAAGGAATTTTTCTTGGAAAGTACACGAAGAGCAAAGATTAGAAATTGATCTAAATAATTTGAACATCAATATTCCGATTTAGTTGTTCAAATTACATTAAGTATAATTGTTTGATTTTCAAAAAAAATGTTGGACTTTTAGGTATTAATATATTTTTTATATATTTTTGTATATCTTAAATTCATAAGTACTTCCAACTATATTTAAATTTATTATTACTTTATTCAATATTCCATATCGCATTAGATAATAACAGTTAAACTAAAGCTAACAAAATTGTTGATTAGTAACAACAGGTGAAAAATAATATGCTTCATGCATATATGAATGTTTTAAAATTATTAATACTTAAGTTAATCTAATCAATTCCAAGATATTTATTGGATCTAAATGAGGCTTAGGATTATAAAACTGTCAACATTTTAACTTATGATCATGTTTATAATATGTATCTCAATTAATTTCAAATTTACTTGTGCGTTATAATATAGTTTAGTAATTAATAAAATATTTCGCATAAACCTATTTAAATGCTTAAAATTGTTAATTTGAAAAACATAATTTTAATCAATTTACATTAGTTAATACTCTTTTTGATACAGTTAAATATAAAGTTTATTCTTTTTCTTTCAAAGTACTATAAGAATATAATTTTAAATATGTCTAAATAATTTTTGTATGGATTTAAAAAGAATCCATGGATTTTAAAAAATAAAAAAATCCGTAGTATATGAACAATAAAAATTTATTTTATCGATTTATTTTATCAATTGATTTCAATGTAAATATAAACTCGGAAACCATTTCAAACTTTCGATTTAATTTTATTTATTTTCACACTGGAATTTTCTTTCATGTAAATATACGATCATTAGTACATTATCTAGTTAAAATTATTATTGAAAAAGTATTTATTAAAAAATAATTACTAACGTTTTAAATAACGCATTTAAATAAAGTGAGTACGTTTTAATAAAGGAATTTAGATTAATAATAAACAAACGATTTGAAAATAATGATTAAAACACCTATGATTTTAAATATATTATATTTATATTTATTAATTTAAATATATTAATTAAACAAATGATCATATTTAATATTTTTACTTGAAAATTAAAAATATATATAAAGACAAAATAATCACAAGAACTTAGCTCACAGGCATATGAGCTTTTATTTTGATTCTTAAATTATTCTATGAATTTTTTATTTCAAAAGCCTTGTAAAAGTCAAATTCAGATTTTACTTTATATACATTTAATTATATATATATTATATACATATAATTATATATATTATTTCCTCATTCATAATATAGTAAAATAATAAATTTTTAATTTCCAAAGTGAATAGTATTCGTAATGCAAATGAAATATTCGTATTAAATACTAAAATACAAATTATATGAAATTCCATTATATTATTAACAACGAATATTAATATATAAAAAAGTATATAAAAATTCCAATTTAGTTCTATATTTTAACTAATATGTAATTATTCTTTATATAAACAATTACTTTTACAAACTTTTTCCAGATATTACTGCCTTATAAAATAATTTTTGTACATTATATGTTTAAGAAACATTTTTCAAGAAATAAAAAAAATTTCTTAGTCAATTAGACTCTTTCAGAGAAAAATAATTATGAAATTGAAATTATTACAAAATTCATTCTTCAGTTGTCAATTTATTTATTTATTATATTACTCATTTTTAAATTAAAATTTTTTTTAGAGTGAATTAAAAAAATTAATAATTAAAAGTATAAGTTTGGTAATTTTGACGGCAGAATTTGGAACTGTCCCATTAAATTTTGTTACATTTGATAGAATCTTGTAATTTAAAAAGGCATTGTAATTTCGAGTAACCTTATTCAGTATAGAAATTCTAAACAAATATTGTCCGAATATTTCCTACATTAAATTACATATTAAATATATAGTAAAAATAAAAATGAAATAATTTTAAAGTAAGAATAATGAACTACCTTTTCTTCTAATAACATAAAAGTAAATTTTCAGTTAGATAGCAATATCCTCATTTCTACTCCATATGCATTCATCATTTTTATAGAGCAGACTTGATCCTTCAAAAAAAAAAAAAGAAAAAGAAAGAAGTTTAACAAATTTGTTTTGATTTAAAAAAATTTATCGCATTAAAAGTATATATAAACTTAGATATAATAAATTATATTTAATGATTAAAATAAAAAATTATAATATGGATATCAATTACGTAAGAGATTAATTTAAATAAATAAATTTTATAATAAATATAAATAAATTAATTTTCATAATGTACTATAATTATTATTAAATGCAATTTATTTTTTAATTTCATTAAATAACTAAATTTTTAGCACTCTCATTCTTTGATAGAAAGAGAAAATAATATTGTTACTCTATTGTATGACTGTTCAGAAAAAATTCAATAAAAATAAATAATAAAAAATTCTTTTTTAAAAATGAATTTTATATTGTCATTTCTAAATTAATAATACCTTAAATCATTATATATATTTTTAACAAAATTATAATAAAATGTTATAATAAAAAAACTAACTTACGTAAGCGAACTTGCCTTTACAATTATACTATGAATGATCTGTAGTCCATGATTGAAGTTCTCCATTCTTCAGCCACATTTCTTCAAATTTATTAAAAGAATATAGAATTTTGCTAAATGAATACAAATTTTAAAGTGCACAATATAAAATAAATGATAATTAAAAAAATAGTTAAATTTATTAAATGCTTAATATTTAATATTTAATAAACGAGTGTAGAAGTTAATTGAATAAAAACGTAAATCATATATTTATAAAATATAAATATTGTTTATTATTAAAATTTTTTTAATACATAGCTTTTCTTTCTATAATATAAATAATTACTGAAAATAAATACTTGAAAATCTAAGAATGTTTTTATTTTAAATGCTCCAAAAGAATTTTTTTCTAGTTTCATATATAGATAACTTGTTATATGGAAGCATTGCTTATTACGGAAAGGAATGGCCATATAAAGTTTATTTTATAAAAGGCTTATCTTATACAAAATGTAAACGAAAAGTAGTAATACACTAGTACTAACACGCAAAGAACGTGCAAATTTATTTATATATGTATTTATAGTTGCATAGAAGTTGATAACAGTGTAATATATGTAATCCTCTGCTTTTATATAATAATTTTTATATTCACTAAATTATGTTTAATTTTAAACGTTTAATTTTTAAGAATACAATAAAATAGTGTTCTGGTAATGTTATTTAAATAGTATTGAAAAATAAAGTTTTGTTCAAATATCTCTTATAATTTAAGTTTAAATAAAACGAAAATTTTTTTATAAGTTGTATTTTGTATAAAAACGGAGGCATTATTTATAAAATGTTAAATTTTTAATAATTTTAAGCTAATTTTGAAATATTTTATTTTTTACAATAAATTGAATAGATTTATAATTTATATACACTTACCTTACATATGCTTATTCTAAATATGGTATAGTATTGATATAATATAATATTTACAACACAATCAATTTTAAATAATAGTTGTATAATAAATTGTCATATTTAATCCATATTCAATAAATCATTCGTTAATGAATAATAGCTTACAAGGAACAAAAAATGAAAAATTTCATCACTATGATGGATAAGAAAGTTAAAAAATGTATGCTCTGCAGTTATAAAAAAATATATACTTATAATATTTATTATTATATAATACTAATTATATATACTTAAATAAATACTTAGACCAGTAAGCAAATATTGTATTTAGGTAGTTTTATTAAAATATTTGATTTAAAGAAAGTTTCCATTCCTTTCCTTTCATCTTATTGAACAAATAAACTTAAACCAAGTTTACAATAGTCTTGTATCGTTAATTTATTATATTCATTAATTATAAAAAATTCAGATGATTAAATTATTTTTCATTTTTCAATTATTTAGAATTATTTAAATTTGTTGAGAGCTACAATTAAAAATATTTTATTTATTTTAATTTGAATAATTATAAAACATATTTACATTTATATATCGATTTATATTTTTTTATAATGATCTAAATCAATATATATGAAAATATGCCTTCAGGTTGTATACTTTTCTTTATTACTTTTATCGCATCAAGATTTCTTTAAAAATTAATATTTTAAAACCTTTTTTATAGCAATTTTATTTTTTTTTTCTTCAATAATATATTATTATAAATTACGAAACTAAAAGAAAAGAATGTAAAAACGAATGAGAATTGAATATTTACAAAACCCAGATAATCAAGTTACTTAAATTTGAAGCCTCCTTAACTGCAAGATTATTAAACAAAAATTAAATAATTGCCCAAAATAAAGATTAACTACTGTTCTTCAAGAATATTTAAAAATTAAATAGTTATAAAAACAAATAAACAAAATATATTATTAAAATAGAAGTATCTTGTAAATAGTGATATAAATAAACTAAATGTCATGTAATAAATCGTCAAAATAAAATCAGAATATTAATAGTTTTGATGCATTAATTTAATAAAATAATATAAATAATATAAGATATAATAATTTTTAAATTAAGTCTAAATTATTATCGGGTAGATAAAAAATTTTTTAAATCACATAATAAAAATTATATTATAAAATTATACAATTATAAATTATATGTATTAAAAAGATAAAATTTATTTTAAAGAAGTTTAATTTATTTAATTTAAATGAAAGAAAGACTGTAAGTTTGGATTTTTGCAATTCGACTTAAATTTACGATTTTGCGTCATCGATTTAATTATTAAATTATATGTAATTTTATATTAATTTTTTATTTCCTTTTTTTTCCGGTTTAATAAGCTGTAATTCAACTATAAATTAGTCTCCCATCAATTTAAAAAATATCTCCGAAAGCTCGATTAAAAGTTTTAAATATATATTTATAAATAAGAAATTTTATTGCATTAATATTCTAAAAACTACATTCATATAGAAATTAGAAAAATTATTTTATATACATTCCTATCAAATATTATATTTCGTAAAATTTTGTTGAAAACGATTTTAAATCTTATAGGATACTATTGAAATGTTTTTATTTAAATTACTTAAAATTTAAGTTAAGCATATTTATTTCTTTTAATTCAATATCAAAATCAAAAATGTTCATAAAAATGAAAATGAAACATATACATATATATGTGTGTGCATATATATATGTAATAATAATTGAAAAATTACTTTACTTATAATAATTATGAGTAATAAATTTGTTATTTGCCTGTTATATATTTTTCAAATACTTATCGAAATTTAATTTTTATTTTAATATTTTACAGCATTTGAAAATAAAGGACGTTGCAGTTGTAACGTTATGTTATTATCTCAAAAATTATAAAATCTATTCCATAATAAAATAAAAAAACAAATAATAAATATAAATATATAATAAATATAAAAAATAAACAGGATTTAAAAATGTTGATTTTTTAAGTATTAAAAAAAGGAAATAACATAATTAATGTAAAGACAGAAGTTGCAACAAAAACATGTAAGACATAATAACTAATATGATCGTATAATATGAACTGCATGAAATAATTAATAAAATATCAAAATTTAAAAATAGTAAACAATTACTTTATTATTATTTATACTGGAATTTATTATACTTATCATACAAAATTTGTTTTAAAAATTTCATTAAAAATCTAGAAATGTAATGTAAAGATAATGTAAAGATAAATAATGTAAAGACTATTAAAAAAACTTGTAACATCATCAACCCTTTATCTTTTCATTTTACATAGAATAAAAGAATCTATTATATATTTTATTACGTACAACTTTTATATGAAATTAAATCATAAAATTATAATGTTATACAACAAATGAGGCATTGGGAAGTAAAAATCGTACACCAACATATGCATGCATGCATGTCTACATAAAAATATATATTTAATGGCATTTGTTTAATTTATAAATGAAATAAATTTTTAAGATAATTAATAAGTTAACAGTGCACAAGAAATTATGAAATTAATATTTTAAATCAAATAAATAATGAGTGAATAATATCTTTTTTAAAATAATATTAATTGATTTATATAATCAAATTTGTTTCACTCAAATAAAAATATTCAATGAGATATTATAGATATGATATAATATAAAAAATGTTTGAGAATTTTATTGAAGCTTGAATATATAATTAATATGTGTATAATTATAATATTAGATAAATGCTAAAAAATTATTAAATTTTGTTTTACCTTGTAAACATGAATACCTTGTATATTTGAAGCTTAGATACAAAATATTAATCCAAAATGTTAAAGTACTATTTGTACATATTCATTTAATAAAAAAAAAATTAAAAAAAGTTAATATAAATCGCAAATCAGTCAATCTTTGAGATTAAATAATTATAATTAGACAAGTAGTACTCTATCTTTTCTTCATATTTGTATAAATATTATTAAATAGTTGCCCATAATTATAATTACTTTAATTATGAGCTAAATATTTAATTTTATTAACATATTTTTAATATGACTTTTATAATATATAAAATGAAATTTATGTAAGAAATATATATATTAGCAATAATTATCTTTATTACTAATGTAATATTGATATATAATATACAATTTTTTGTTTTCAGATTCAAAGTATATATAAAAAAACTATATGTTATCTAGTAAACCATTATAAGTTTTTAGCAAACTTAAATAAATAGAAACAAAATACTAAAAAAAATGTGTAATTTGTAATTCTAATTCAAAGATCTCAAATTCTAAAAATCAACTCCAATTAAAATTTTCACATCTGCCAGATAACTTTTTTTAGTTCTTGTAAAAATTCATTAACACCAAACATGATCTTTTTGGTTAAAAAAAATTATATTTTAGTTATTATATATGGGTTACATGAAAATTAATATAGAATTTATAAAATAAAAAATAAACTATTGGCTTATTATCCTTGTAATAAATGGAATCTGTAAAGTTAAAGACTAAATACCTGTAACTCTTTAATAAAAATTATAACAACTGTATTATAGAAAATATCAGTTGATCATTTTTTCATTGTCATTGTTGAATTATAAACTTTTATCAAAATAATTTACTTATTGCATCTACAAAGTAAATGCAATTCATACGTGCAAAATAACGTATAAACGTGTTTCTTTTAGTTTTTTTCAATATTATATTTTCAAATATCTGAAAAAATTATAGAATCCAAAAATGGTACATAAATTAAAAAAAAGAAGAAAATGTAATAAAAGAATAGCGTGAATAATTGAGATATAATAAATAAGTGAGGAAGGAAAAGAAAAAGAGCGAATGCGACGCAGTAATGTTACAAAGTGGACGTAAATGAAATGATAAACCTAACCTTACTGCACTATGAGTTTGGACGATTGAGTCCTGTTGATACGTCTACTGCTCGTTGTCGCGATTAATTGCACTCGCCAAGTACGTCAAAAAATAAGTCCCTCTGCCCAATTTCTCTGATGCACTTTTCTCCGTACTGGGCAGCAAAACCAAGTTATTCAGTATATAGAGATCTATGTCTATATATTTATATAGACATATTCAAGTAATTTATACTTCCGTGTCCTCTCCTTGAACCAAACTCCATTACTCCACACTCATGTCCAGTACTTTATAGATGTTCAGCTGCACCATAAAATAATACAAATAAACAATATTAAAAGTAGATTGAAGATTAAAGCGCACCGCACTTGCATTCGACATTTGTTAGTAATCTTTCTTTACTTTTAACAATATTAATAAAATAACTGCGATAACGACATCTCATAGGTCACTGCAGACAGCAAGTGAATGACGATCGCCAAGTAAAAGTGTACATCAAGATTTACTGAGTGGATATCGGTGAACTGTCAGTGGTGCTCAAACATATACTTACCGTTATTTGAAACTTTGAGTTTTATTTTCTTATCACTGCTCAACTTATCTGTCGTTCTTTTCCGATACTTTGTTTACTGCGCTGACCACCGCTCAACAATCAACTCAAAAAAAGATGGATGGTAATACAAAAGTTCTGAACTTAATAAAGCATCGCTTACAATTGCAAATATCTTCGATTTTGAGAGTAAAAAAACTATTATTCATCGAGCTGAGGGATAATTATTTAAATTTTAAGTATTTCGGATTGTTATGTTCTTGATGAATACGATAACAAATTTCTTGATTCTGTTTGAAATAAATAAGATTATTCATTAATTTAAATAAAAATAGTAAGTCAATCAACTGAAAATGTAAAACAGGTAAAAAAATCTTTTTTCTGTAAATTTCCATCGTAATAGCATCAACAAAATATTTTCAATTACTTATCATGTAAAAATGGTCATTTTTAAAATAATTTTTGTATAATCATAAAAATTTACTGAAAAGTTAGAATAACATTTATAAAGATCAAAAATTGACACTCCACTGCTAAGAAAAGTAATACAACATTGTAATCTAAAAATAAATTTATAATTCAAATTTCGTAGTTTATTACATATAAAATTATGCATCTTAAAATTATGTTTTTATACTTATAACTTCCAAGCCTTTTAAATCTATTATAAAATAATAAAATAATAAATATTCTGATATAATTTAATTCAAAAACAAATTTATTTAATGATTAATGCTTCAATACATATTAAATGTTTTAGGTAAATTACTCTTTATAATTATTAAAATATTATTTTTATTTATCTTATTGAAGAATTTTTGTAAAAGAACAATAAAAAAAGAATTAAATTAATTATTGAATAATTAAAAGAATTAGAACAGACATTTTGATATTTAAATTTTATTTTTATAATGATTATATAAAAATGTTTTCAATTATATTATCAATTTATTATACATAAGTACGTATATTTGAAGGACATGTGTTTTAAGGAATTATAATGATCAATAATTACAACATTGTAAAAAGATAATTATATTATTAATATCAAGAATTGCAGAAACTTTTGCAAAAAATCATATATTTTAATTCAAGTAAGACTATTGTCAATCTATTCTATATTATAAACTATAGCTATTAGATTCCTCAGAAAATACGAACTCCCACTTATCAATACTACCTATTTAATTAATTTAAAAAAGAATATAGTTGATAATGATAGAGTGATGATATTTCACTTTGAATTACATATAGATTTTTGAATTGTAAAAATTACTGACATGTTATTAAATTAAAAACGAATAAAAAAGAAAACATATATTTAATTAATAAAAAAAAGAGAATAAAATTGAATAAATTCATAAATTTACATAAGCTCAAACGGAAAACGAACAAAATACAATAGAAAATAAATTACATGAAAATGATTAATATTCATATAAAATACTACTTCAAACAAATTATAAATAATTTTAAAATAATAAGTACATACATAGCTTTTATAAGAATATTAAATAAATACTCCCATGAACACATATGTGTAATTCATGAGCTTATTACTGTGTATTTTAATAGACGTTTGAATATCTTTTATGCTTATACTTATCCCAAATTTAGAAAATTATCAAATTTGATAATTAAATAAACAATAGATTTATATTAAATTGAACTGTCACATCGTTGGAGTTTCATATTAATAGTAATGACCAATACTCTCTTGGTCTTACATGGAACAGAAATAAATTATGTAACTGATTGCTTTTTTGTCCCAACATTATATTGTGTCAATTTAAAATTGCTATATTAATTACTAAATTAATTTCAAAAGTCAGCTTATTCCAAATATAAACCATTTAAATGAAAAATATTTTAATTATGACACATTAGTTTAAATTAAAATTTAAATATAATGTTTAAATAACTTTAAACAAATATAGAATTTGTGATACTTATAAAAAAATTTATAAAGTTATTAGAAAAATTAATACATTATAATTATTCAATATATTAATAGTAATTTAATATAAATTCATAAACATTGAATTAGTATTTAATATAATATAATTATTTTTAAATACAAAATAAGAAATTTAAATTATAATATATATGAAATTAAATTAATTTTATTAGATTTTCTATTAAATTATAAATATAAAAATAGTTAAAAAACTTTTGTAGGTGATATATCTTGTTTTAAATTGTTTATTTAAGAATTATGCATAGATTACAAAACCATTCTTTTATAATATACTTTTATTATTAATACAGTTGTATTCAGTGACTAAAATTAAAATTAAGCTTGTCTCTTTATTTTATAATAAATTATTATATATATATTTATTTTATAATTAAAATTCTTAATGCATAGTTGTAATAGAATAATATATATGAATTATTTTTGTAAATATAAATATATTTAAACAAATTTTATCCTATAACATTTATCACTTGTTGACACAATTATTTATAAAAAAATGAATAATAAATAATTGTAATGTAAATTATAATAAATATTATTATTAGGATTACCAGACAATTGTTTTAATGTTGTATTATGGAAACGCTATACATCATTTATCATCTTCTGTACTATAATTCATGATGTGTATAAAGGTACTGAATTACATAAATAATATATCTTTTTTTTACATATTCTATTTTTTTTTATTTGAGGTTATTTGTAATTCTATGCTGTTTTATTCAAAAAATAGAAAACAGAAAAAAACTCTTTCAATGTTTGTTACCCAAGAGAGAATGAAGTGAAGTTTAATTTATAAAAGGAATTTCAGGAGTTAGGGATCTAGTAGAAAAATTTGTCAACCAAGATCGAAAATTTTTAATTTTTATTACTTTTATGTTTGTCATTTTTATAACGCTCTTGAACTTCCGGTAATTATTGTAGTTTCAAGTAATGATCTATGGAGTTATCATCCACTTCATTGCTATTTAATTTACAGTTATGGATTGCAAAGCACATTGACTATATATTTATAATTTTATGTCTCAGATTATGCATTTATGAATTTAGTGTGACAGTAAATGTGTACATATGCGGTTAGAACAAAATATTGATGCAAAAAAACTTTATAAACATTATCTGCAAGCATTTAATATAAATTAGCTGAAGTAAAAATATTTTAAAGAAATAATAGTTTATTCTCAATTTCAAAAATTAATTAAACAGAGAACTTTCCTATGCTTGCATTTATAATTGTGAATTTATAAGTGGACAGTGAATTCTTCAAAATAGATAATCGTCCATTGATCTTTTTTTCAATTATTATAAACTTTTTTGGGTATTATTTATTTATTTAAAAATAGTTTTAATAAATGAGAATGTTTGTATTAACGATGATCTAGCAGTTTTTACCAGAATATCAACATTCAAATCGTAATGAAGAGCGATACTATCCTTGAACTATGTCATGTGAAGGATTAATCATTTTTCTGTTTAGTAAAATTAACCTACTTAATCAAGTAAGATTACACTGTAAAGAGTTGTAATCGCAGGCGATGACAGATTCATGGCTCGATATTAGTATCACTTATTATTTGTATTTTGCGTTTTACAACAAACTTGAGTACATTGGACAATCACATCACATGACAAGAACATCCTTGTCTACAAATAATCTTTATATAAAAGATTAAAATCTTTTTAATTACATTAATATTTAATGTAAATAAAAACTATATAAATAGATTAATAACATTTATAAATATATATATAAATATAATTTTGATTTGAATTTTAAACAATTAACATATATGAAAAAATATTATTTAAATATATTTATTTATATGTTAAATAAATAAATTATTTAAAGTGTCGTATTCCTTAAAAATCAAAAAAATATTCAATAATTTTTTTGTTTTTGTATACTGGTTATCTAATAGTATTAAGGTACCGAATCTAGATCCAAAACCTCAGACTTTTACTGCGCGTGCGTTAGTACATATTAAATCCTTATCTGCACTCTCTAATTGATAATTATTTCGTCAAGGTGTTGGCAAGTCTATGTTATTAATAAAGTTTTAATTAATGATATTCTCCTAATATAATTAGAATATATATTTATAAATATTTTATATTAAAAAATAATATTTTTAAGGTCTTGTTTTTAATGAAAAAGAAATATATTTAATTGCTCATCCAATTGTTGCTAATTACTCTTAAATCCATTTTCATAAATTAAGAAGACTAAAATTTATTTTAAACTTATAACTAGTAAGATTATTTTATTAAAAAATTTAAGTATTTAAAATATTTTTCAATTTTAATTATTTAAAAAAATTAAATATTGGATTCATATATCAGTAAGTGTATTTGATTTTTCAAAATTAAAAAAAAAATATATATATACATATTAATACATTGTATATATTTATTTATACAATTATAAATATATTTATAAATATTCACTTATATAATTATAGGATATAGATTTATAGTTTCCTTATATTGATAAACTTTTTAATTTATTAAAATAAAATATGTTGTAAATTAAAAATTTTAATTTTAAATATCATATTTCGTATTCATACATTGAAATTGTTTAAAATTGTTCATAAATGTAATTTTATTATAAATAATAAATATATAATGATACATCAATTATACATGTTATTCATAAAGCATGAAATATTCATTATCAAATAAGAATGATTACTATTTCAGAAGAAAACCTTAGTTATATAACCTTACTAAAATATAATTGTAATTGAAATATGTGAATTTTCATATAATTAAATATTCAATAAAAAATGGGATTGTTTAAATTAAATAAATAAAAATTTATCAAATATAATTTCTAATTATACAATTTTTAGAAAATAATTGTAAATATAAGGGTTCTAAAAGATTTTTAAGAAGTAATGATTGTGAAGTGAATATAAAAAAATAAAAAATAAGTTTACTAAAATTCATTACAACTATTTTCTGGTAGTATTAGGCTATATAATACACTCATGATATTTTGATTTTGTTCCTTATCAAACTAATATATAAAATTAAAGTTGAAATTATGATTTTGAGATATCTTATAAAATATTGAATAATTGAGAAATATGTAAGCTGTTCTTTTATAGTTGTATATCGGATAGTTTATTATTAGAAATATAGATGTTAATATTTTTTATATTATGCAATTTCAAATTGAAATGTATAATATAAGTAGTTACTATATATATACAATTAATTTTAAACAAAGATGAAAAATAAATAATGTTGATTAACAATAATTTTAATATGAATTTTCTTAGCTCTAGAAGTAAATAAAAATATGGATAGTAGTAAACCCACAGATGAAAACTATAAAAAACAATCAAAGTCAATTTATTTAAATCAAACTGATGAATTAAACAATAAATTTAATGAATTAAGTTTAAATGTTGAAAATACATATTGTGATGGATCAAGTGATTGTAATGTTAAAAAAAAAGATGATATACAAGATAATAACTTTAAAATTAATTATAAATTAGAAACAAAAAAAAGCATTGTTTCCACAGAAATTGAAAAAATGAATGATAATTATTTACAAAATTTAATTTTGGATTTTGGTACTATTTTTATTAAATTATGTATTGATTCTGGAAAACATAATATATATAATATTAATCAAGAAAATATTAACTTGATAAAATTAGGAATTAGTTTAATGATTCCCAAAAAGTTTAGTTTAATTTGTTTTGTTTGTGATACAACATTTTTAAATGATAAACAATTATTGTTTGAACATCTATTGCACAGTAAACATATACAGAATTTAAAGAAAATAAATAATGATAACAAAATATCCAAAGAGAATCCAAATAAATTTAATAACTTAAAATTGGCTGAATTTTGTATGAAAAAAGAAACAAATAGAAAAATTCAGTGTTATGCATGTAATTACAAAATTAGGAACAAAAATATTCTTATTAATTTACATGTTAAAAGTAAAAAGCACATTCTTAGAAGTAAAATATGGAAAGAACAATCTGTAGAAATTTTTAAAGAATTTTTAATAATTTTCGATAATGCTTGGTATTATGCACATGTATATATTTGCACTATTTGTCAAAAAAGATTTGATTTGGAAATTAAATTTGCTAAACATTTAGTAGACTTGACTCATGTAAAGAATATTAGAAAATGTAAATGTAATGGAATTCTTACTAAATTTCATATTTGTCCTATTTGTGCTACATGTTGGTTTGGAGATTCTAATTCCTATAGCATTCACTGTGAAAGCCAATTTCATAAATATTTTGTAAAACGTGGTGACCTTACGGTTTCTAATATCACAAATTTTGTTGTAGATTTGTTAAATAATATAGATCAAAATATTACATTTTTATTAAATGAGTCTAATAAAGTGATTTTTGAACATAATAAAGAATCTGAAGTATTACAAGCAATTGAAGAAAGTATAAAATGTATATATCCAAATGCCAAAACTTATATGTTTGGTTCAAGACTTTCAAATTTGGGTTACCCAGATAGTAATTTAGACATTTATTTAGACTGTGATAATTTTTATTTTAAATGTATAGTAAATCAACAAATTGAAACATATTTACTGACAGTAAAAAAAATTTTCGAATATCGAACAAATACTTGGATTATAAATGAAATTATTTTAAATGTCAGAGTACCAATTATAAAACTAAGTCATATACCAACTAGTATAAAAGTAGATATTTCTTTTCTTAATGGCCTTGTTGTGGAAAAATCAATACTTATAAGGTAAAAAATTGTTTTGAACTTCTAAGATAAAATAATACTACTTTTTAGAAAATCATTTTTGTAGGTATTATAACGACGCTTATTTTATTTGTCGATATTTAATTTTATATTTAAAAAGATGGTTTATTCTTTGTCAAATACCTGGTCCAAAGTCTATGTCAAGTTATGCCATTTCTTGGTATGTTATTTTTTATTTACAAGTGAAACGAATCTTACCATCTGTACATGAACTTGTGAGACTGAAAAATGAATCTAAAATTGTTGGTGGTAAGATATCAGTTCAAGAAATTAAAATAATTAAATAATATAGTATAAAAATATAGAGTAAAACCTTTGATAAATTAATTTTCAAAATTTATTTTCTTTATAGGCTGGGAATGTGGTTTTCAGAAATCAATTTCAGTTGCTCACTCTGATTTAAATTTCAAAGACCATATTAAAGAATTTTTTTATTATTATGCTGAATTTGATTATAAAGCAAATGTAGTATGTCCATATTTAGGTAAAATAATAGAAAAAAATTCTTTTGCACATATTAAACAGTTACCTAAAGAAATGGAAATTTATAAGCAAAATGTGAAACAAAAGAAAAGTGTAATCTTTCAGTTTGACTCTCCTATGTGCCTTCAAGATCCTATTGATCTTTCACAAAACTTAACAAAACATATTACAAAATTCCAGTTACAAAGCATACGAAAGTATTATAATGAAAGTGCTGCAATCATTTCATAAATCTACAATTAACAAGATTTAATAATAAAGTTTAATAGCATAAAAAGTTGATTACATTTAAAAGTGCCTTCTTGTATACCTATTTTGTACACAAAATGAATGATGATATTTTTTAAGATTTTATACAATTTAAAATACTATTTGGTATAATAAAATCAGGAAAAATATTGTAATAACATAATTATAGGTGTATTTAACAAAAAAGAAAATATGCAATATCAATATAAGAATTTCTCATCAGTTAATAACGATATTTAAAAATCTATTAACAAAGCAATCTAATTCTATCTAATTCCTATATTGGAGCAAATCATAATAAAATGTTCTTTTAAAAGAAGTATAATATATAGAAAGTTACAGTTAATGAACTTACTCTATAATAGTAATAACTATTTTGTATAAAAATTATCACTATTTGTAATAACAAAATGCAATGCATTATTGGTATAGTATGTTTTAATGAAATTTTATTTTAAATACAAAATAATCTAATTGTTATAATTACATATTAAATGCAAGAAATCTTTTAAAAAAAAATTTAATTTAAAATGAAAGGATTTTAGAATTGATAGATTAAACAACTTTTTTCTCAATAGTGTTATTTCTTGATAATATGAGTGTTTTTACTTGAATTTTCTATTACAATATCTTGTTTCCATACATATTCTTCTACATATTTAGATTCTGTAATACATGAATTTTTACAAGTATAAATTGTCAAAATTCCCCAATCAATATTATTTAAAATATCATCTATTTGTAAATAAAGTAAAAGTTGTGGCATTATTTGAAATTCAAACTGTCTTGCACTTTTACATTTTTCACAATTTGGAATATCAAGTGGTTGATGGCTTGATGAAATAAATAATGGTTTTCCACCTCTATTGTACCTTTTTTATCAATTAATTAAACAATAATAATTTATCAATTACATAAGATTTATTAATAAACTGAAAAATATGAATTATCATTACCTCAAGACTTGATTAGGTTTATTTTGTATTCTTTTCCGAAATTTAGAAAATGTTTTATCTTCATTATTTGCCAGTTTCAATAAATCATTATCTATATCCTCTGATTGCAAACAACCAGCTTGTCCCTTGTCGATGAGATCTTTAAATTTTTCAATCTCCTTTCTTTCAATAACATCAATATCTTGATTACTTTCCTCAGGTTCTATTACAAGTTCCAATTCAGGAAATAAAATATTTTTACAATTCAACGATTGTTTAATCTTGCATAATTTTTTGTGACTAGTTTTCCAATCCCATATTTGATGTAACTGACAACAATAATTAATATTTTTACACTTAGAACAATGATAAGATGAAAAAATACCACAAACATGACAAGTTTTACACCAACTATCTACACCTAAAATTATTGTAAAAATAAAAAATTATTAAGAAAAATAAACAAAAAAAAAAAAACAACTAACATATATCAGATCTCCAATCTTGTGATTCCAAAGGTGGGTCTGGTAAATAGAATTCATTTATTCTTTCTAATTGTGATCGTAACACTTTTATATTACCATTGTAATTTTCTTTACAACAATCTACATTCTTACAAATAAAAACAAAAAGTGTTCTGTGAAATGCTTTTTCATCTTCTTCATAAGGTGCATATATCTGACATAAAAAAATACAAGGATTTTTGCAGTGATTACAAGCAAGTTGTTTGGCATCAGGAATGTTTTTCAATTCTAACCAAGCTGGTTTACCACCAACTTTACTAGGAAAAAAACGACTTTCCAATTTCCACAACTCACACTTTTCTGCAACTCCAATTTGAATAATATCAGACATATCTATATCGAGCACCTCATTTACTGAAAAATTGTGTTAAAAAGTTTTTGTTATTGGTTCATAAGTAAACTCTCTCTAAATGTACAAACAAACAATAATGAAAAATAATATTTATTATCTCATTATTTACAATAAATTTTTAAAATACCAAGATGAAATATCAACAGCAAAAAATTCCTAATTGCAATGTTTTTTTTAAGTTAGTTACAATTAAAAGAAAAAATAAACCATATGTATATCAATTAACTTTAATATTATTATTTTAAAATAATAATTAGTATTTAATGAAAAATTCAATTGTTAGTTAAAATAATGTTTGTATCATCCATTTTTAGCGTAAGATCGAATAAGATATTGTAATGCTAACAAAAATAAAATATATTTTCCTCTCCTTAAGTGCTCTCTTCACATATACGATAGAAATCTTATCTTAATTAGACACATTATTTTTCTTTTTTAACATATTTAAAATCGTATTGAACAATAAATAATAAATTTGCTCATAAAATAATGTTGAAATGTATTTATTGCTGATTTAGTATTTCCTAATTAAATTTGAATGTAGATTTATGAAATAATATTGAATTTAGGATTTAAAAATTAATTTAATAACTGCTTTATAATTAAACCAGTTTACTTTTATTTAGGCATTAATCAGTATCACGGAAAACTAAATTCATAGAAAAGATCTCTTTTTAAATCAATTTTTTTAAGTAAGATTTGCGTATTCTAAACATACATTATATTTCAATTTTGAAGAAATGTTACCAATCAGATTCAATTTTTTAAATAATATTTTGTTTATTATTTTAATTTAATTTATAAACACTATAATAATTAATATATAGTGGACAATAAATGTTTGTATTTTAAGATTTTATTAAAATATAGATTGAATTTATCAAAGATAAATTAGAATAAAAAAATATGAGAAAACACAACATGTAACACTGCTTCATCTAAAAATAACTACATAATACGAATTTAGCTGATGAACTTTCATTGGTTAAAATCTCGAATCAATGCTTTATATATGTTTGTATGTGTATTACATGAAAACAATATCAATATTTGGTATTGAAATCTGAAAAGGTACTTTAAAATTTATTTTAATTATTATAAAATTATACTAAATGTTTTACTAAATGAAATTCAAATATTTGAAGTAAATTATATAACAAGACATTATATAATTATTTTTAAAAGATATTTTTCAATATAATGTAAAAAAAAAATTTATTATAATAACAATCATAAGGACAATTTATGTTGTAAAATTTTATATAAAAATGAATTACAGAAAAAAATAGGATTTATAGTATAGTTTGTCTAAATTTGTATTATAGCGCGAAATTCTTTAAAAATACAAGTGAGACAGTCTAACACTTCTAGTTTGGTAAGATCTTTTTTTACAATGAATCTTTAATATTAGATCAATCTTATAAATAAAAATTAGCTCTGATAAGCTGTATAAAGTGTAATAAATATAATTTGATTCGTTTTTGACAATTAAGAGTTGAAAATTTTTTTAATTTTAGAAATTTTTAAATTCATAATATATGAAATAATGGTGTGGGGTTTTGAAAATATACAATTACCTGCATGTGTCTGGTCTGAAAATGTTGATAAAAGAAGTGCACTTGCTTCATTACTTGCTGGAATATTGGTTAGTTATAAACATTTATAGACTTGAGAATGTTTCTTTAATATTTTTATACTGATAAAAAAATTAATTTAATTTTTGTTTTTATTTTTAATTATTTTTTTGTTTAATGCTTTTTTTATTTTCTAAAATAATTTTTATATATAAAATTTTATGTATAATTTTGAAATATTGATTTAAAATGAATTATAAAAGAAGGAGTGGTTAATATAACTTATTTTTATTTACCTTTATTTTACTATTAATTTTAAAATATATATTATTAAGTATTCTTGTTACAGTTTTTTTTAGGATGGTGGCTTATAATTGATGTTCATGCTAAATATCCAAATGAAATTTCAAATGTTTATCATATCTGTGGTATTTTTGGAACATTTTCTTTATTAATGTAAAATATTCTTGTTTAATAGATTATTTATTTTTGTTGAATTATTAAGAAAACCTTTTTTAATTAATTATAGGGTAAATTCTGTATCAAATGCTCAAATTAGAGATGATGCATATAATGGTGGTTGTTTAGGACCTAGAGGAGCCAGAGGATGGCTGTTTATTGGATTTGTTATGGGATTTGCAGCTGTAATAGCAGCTTGTTGGATTCTATTTGCAGATTTTGTTGCAATGGGTTTGTTGTTTTATATTTAATTTTGTATTAATTTAGATTAATAATTTATTATTAATTTTTTCATATACTATAATAAATATTTTTATATTTTTCATTTTTCACTAAGTATGATGAAAATAATTGTAAAAATTTTAAATATTAAAATTTATTATAAAAAAATATATAAACTTATCAATTTTTATATTTCATACTTACATTAAAATTATTTTTTTTATATGCAGATGTGAAGTATCATTGGCCTGGAGTTGGTTTATTTTTACAAAATGTATTCATCTTCTTAGGATCATTAACTTATAAATTTGGACGTGTAGAAGATAATTGGAGCTGAACATTTCTGAGTTTATAAATATTAATATTTCTATGATAAATTTATAAACAATAAAAGTTATATTAATATTATGGTTTTGTCATGTATATACATGCATAATAAAGTTTATAAAATTTCCTATAAGTTTTATATGCTTTTATATGATTTTATATAAAAATATAACATTCATACATAACAAAATTATTAAATAAAAATATGTATAATATAAATATGTATAATATGTACAATATATTTTTTGTTAATTTAAATTTTTAATTATATAACAATAAAACATAATGCAACAAAATTTTTAGAAAAGAAATATAAATTCCATATATGTTTAGTATAAAATTTTATCTATAAGCTTACAATAATCTAAATTGATATAATTATAGGAATACGGATTTCTATTACCTTGCATGTGTATATTAATAACCTAACTTTACTCTAAATGTTTGCTTCTGATTCAATTCTATAATATTAAATCTGCTCATGTACTAATGAATTTTTGTACACGTTTTAAAATTTAAAATCATAACAAATTTATATCGATAAGAAATGTCTTACAAAATACATAATGTTCGTTTTTATAATTTGGAACCAAAATCAATTGTCTGTTTTTCCTATGAAATAAATAGTAAAAGATTAGCTCTTGCAAGGTTAGTTCATTTTGTATTAATTTATATTTAAGATTTATTTAATATATTCTATTTTTTAATTAAATTTCTTATCATATAGTAAATGACATTTTAGATTAAAGTTAAAATATTTTTTCAATATTATTTAATAAAATACGTTTACGTATTTATAGAAAATAAAATGTCTTTAATATACATAAATATTAAATAGGTTAGTAAAAATAACTAAAAATAAAAATAATAAACCATAAATTATTTTTTAGAAATGATAATTCATTAGAAATTTGGAATATTAGCAACGCACCTTTTATTGAATTAACATTTGGTGGACAAACAGATCATTCTATAGAAGCTGTATTATGGATTGGTTCAAGACTCTTTAGTTGTGGACTTAGTGCAATGATTATAGAATATGATTTAACTGCCATGAATATAAAAAATGAAGTTGCAGTAACAGGGGGAGCAGCTTGGTGTATGGATATCAATCCTGATCAAAACAGATTAGCAGTTGGAACTGAAGATGGTTACATAAATATATTTTTTGTAACTAATGAAACTTTAATGTATGAAAAATTCTTTGACAAACAAAAAGGAAGAATATTATGTATAAAATGGGATATCACCGGAGAAATGATTTTCAGTGGTTCAGTAGATACTTTAAGAGTTTGGAATGCATCTTCTGGTCATGCAATTCATAAAATGATAACAGCTAGAAAAGATTCTAAAAAAGAAACAATAGTTTGGTGTTTAGCAGTAACGAATGATAACATGATTGTATCTGGAGATTCTCGTGGAACTTTATCAGTTTGGGATTCAACTATGGGTATTTTAATAGAATCTCATGAAAGTCATGCTGCAGACATTTTATCAATAACCATGTCTCATGATAAAAATGTTATTTATTGTGCTGGGGTTGATCCTGTTATTCGTACATTTTCAAAAATATTTGTTAAATCTACAGGAAGATCACAATGGGTTAGAGGAATTGAAAGAAGACTGCATGTACATGATGTAAGAGCTCTTGTAGAAGCAGATGGTAAATTATATTCTGCCGGAGTTGATGGATACTTGGCGCAGTCTAGTTATCCACCAAAAATTTTAGTCAAATATCCACCATTATTGCAACCTCCTTGTGTCTATGTATGCCCAAAATCAAAATGTATAATGCTTCGGTATCATAATTATTTAGAATTATGGAAACTTGGAATTATTATAACAACTAATAAAGGTGCTATTCAACCTGGATTTTTGCACCAATTAGATAAAGAGCCAATAAAACTTTTAGAATTAAAGACTAAATTAGATGAAAATATTATTGCTTGCGCCATTACTAAAGACTCAAGAATTATTGTATATTCAACAGAAACACATGTTAGGGTATTTAATTTTAATGTGAAGAATGGTATTGCAGAATTATCTAAACAAAATAGTGATGTACCTAATAAAAAGATACAAAAAATGCTTTTTAGTTCAAATGGTAAATATTTTGCAACAATAAATAATGAGCATAATATAAATCTCATTACATTATATTCAGTAAACAAAGAATGTTATTTAAGTTTTTATACATCTTTCACAACTGATAAGGAACAAATAAAAAATATTGGATTATTTTGCTTTTCACCTGACAACAAATATTTAATATGTTCTGATTATGAAAGTCATATAGTAGTGTATAATCTTGAAGATGATTTAATTCTAGAATCTTTTGAATCTTGGTCTCTTTCAAAATACAGATATCCTCCAACAGCAATGGCTGTACAAAAGAAGACTAATAATTTAGTTGTAGTTTATTCTGATCATAAGGTAATGCATTTTTTTTATATTATATATGGAATGTATATGAAAATATTAATATCAAAATAATTTTTGGTTATGAAAATGAAATAAATTTGATTTGATTACAGATTATAGAGTACAATATTCCTACACGAAGATATACCAAATTTTCAAATAATTTACAAGATATTTTACCAGCACAATGGTTAGCAAGACGTTTTCCTATAACTAATATTGTTTTCGATCAAAGTAATGAAAACATAATAGTTATGCATGATGATACAACTGTTTTTGTAATTAATAAGTTTACTGATATACCAAACTCAACAGCAAAAATACTTAAACTTCAAAATGGTAATTCCAAAGAAGAAAATAATATAAGTTCTAAATTAAAATCACAATATATTCAAGTTATAAAAAAATATAAGGTATATAAGCATCAGATAATATTTATTAATTATAATTATTTATAATTATAATTAATTATAAAATTTTAATTATCAAATTATTTATAGCATTTAGTACATTTGGCTTGGGTGAATAGTACAGAAATGATTGCTGTAGAAGTCAACCCAACATCATTATCTGAAAAGCTACCACCAACACTAAAACAAAAATGGTTTGGAATGTAAATTTAATCGTAACTCACTTGTTATCTTTTAAATACAATATATATTATGACAATAATGTATCTTAATTCGAAATTTTTTATTTAAATTGTATTTTTTATAAAATATGTTAAAATAAATTATTTTGGAACATAAAATAAAAATTAAAATTAAAGAATTTGAAAATATGGTGTCATGAATATCTATTATACAATTTTAATATTCATACTCTTATAATATTAAAAAATTTGATTAGTATTATAAATTATATATTAAGTTCAAATAAGAAAATATAACAATATATTTGTATTAGATTGCATCAACAAAATATATATAAATAATAATAGTTTTTAACATCATTTCCAGTTATAGAAATAAATTATGTAATATTTTTAAATAAAATCATATTTATAATAATTATATGAGCAAAGGCTTTGATAGTATTTTTAAAAATGTTTAATTATTGAGTTAAATTTTTAAGTAAAATATATTAAATTAGTTTATATTTGATACATAAGTTTTTCTATTTAAAAAATTAAAAAAAACTTTTTATAAAAAGATTTGTAATTAAATACAAAATAGTTTTGAGTTTTTCAATCAAAATTTTATTTATTTGGTTTATATTAAATAAAATATGCCACAACCTTACAAAACTTTAAATTTAATGGTGTGTACATATATATATGATTTAATATTAATGTGATCTCACATTGAGATATTGATAATTTTATTCAACCATACTTTTTTATATCTATAAATATAAGATACTATTATATTTTATATACATAGTTTATTATACAGAAATCTATTTGTCAAAAGTTTTAAATAGAGAATTGTAAACTTAAACATAACCTGAGTAGCTCAGATTAATTACATTATGTCAGTGTAGTTTTTGCATAACTTGTTATAATATAATACAAATGCTATCAAATAACATGGCTTTAGAAATATTATATCAATAAGTATGTTACATCTGTATATTGCAGGTATTTTTCTTTTTTCTATAAATTGTATATTACAAAACAAACAGCAGGGCAGAACTATAAAAATAGCTTAATCATTGAGTATTATATAAAAATTATAATTTTTGTTAGGTATTCATTTTTATGTATTATTTTTAATAAGTAATTTTTTTATAAATATATATGATCGTACATAACAATAATATTAGTATAATACGAATTAATTAATTAACTTAATAAAATAGTTAAAAAAATAAAATAGTTAATTAAATTAAAAATAGTTAATACTGCTTTACACATTAATTAATGCTACTGAAAAAATAAAAATTTAAAAAGTAGTAAGAACTACATATAGGAAAAAAAAGTTACATTCAAATTTTCAATGTCTAATTAAATTTGAATGTAATAATTTTTTTAATTCTTTGTAAAAAATTCAATAAATCGAATTAAATTCCTCTATTATTCATTTTTCAAAAATAATTATTTTAATGTATTGAAACGAAATAATACATTGTTTTAATGTAAATTTATACTTCAAGATTCTGAACGTTAAGAGTGTATTCGAAATGACTCAAATTTTCCTATGATAAATAAGTAATTTCCATTCGTTGTTTGAATTTTGGCTCAGCCATTACGTTTAGTGAACATTTCTACATCTATTTCAATATACACGCTTATAAATCCTATGTTGAAACGCTTGTAAAATATAAAAATGTACGTGGTGGCGGTGAGTTAGCGACATATATACTATAGAAATATTTATGTATATCTACTTTCTACTTTACTTTGTCGGCAGTGTATAATTAAATTATATAAGCAGTCATTTGCAACTCGATTGAATTAACCTGGGCGCGCGCGGAGTCACGGCGCTTGAACCGGCTTGGGAAAGGCACTAACTTTTATATAGCTTGGGAGTTGTGATATCCGTGGTTGAATGGCGTTTTTTCTTTAACAATGACAACACTTGTTTAAGGTTATTTTTGAGCATAAAAACTCAAGTTTGGGAATTGTATTTTCTTTAATTTGTTTTTCACATGTTATAAAATTAAGCATTAAGTTGAAGGTATTGGCATATTTTTTAAAATTACATAAATATATTTTTTAGAATTAAAATGAATGAAAGTGGATGATAAATAATGCCAAATACTGTAAAGTTATCAGTTATCAGTTATCTTGTTTTGATTGAGTCGTTATTTTTGAAAACGTTCATGAAAAATTTCAATGTTTTCAGATATAATTGAAATTTTTACTTTGAAAAAATTGGTTTGTTTAAATTAAGGTAATTTAAACTTTTAGGAATTATTTTAATTTTAAAATAATCCACATAAGTTGTTTTCAATAATCAGAGTCGATATATATTTATATGTTTATTTATATGAATTTATATAATTATTAATATAATTAATTTTATTATTATGAATTAATATTTTTTAAACGTGCAATACATTGATGCATATATCAATTTTACTAATTTTACATTTAATTCTTTATTCAATTATATGATTATATTTTTATTACCTTATTTAATTTAAAGTAATTATTTATTCAAAAATTTACTGTTAAGAATTACTTTGAAATTATATTATTTGAATAAATTTCATATATTCAATGTGTTTTATTCTATTTCTAATTTAGTAGAAATTCAAGAGATCGATGTTATTAAATTGCTGATTGACAAAATGAATTTTTCTGAACAAAGTGCTCAGAACACACTTCCACAATTTTCAGAGATAGCATCACGTACTAATGTTACAACTTCAAATTATACATCAAATCGAAATAATTCTGTACAATCTAATCAGAATGCTATTTATACTACAGCTAATGAATTACACAGTGCAAAACAAATTTTAGTAAGTAAATAATTTTTATATTAATAATTTCAAATTTAACTGACTTATAACGCAGAAAATATTAATAAATAAAAAATATATAAATAATAAATATATTAGTTTTAATTATTATATTTATGTAGTAGATAAATTATAAGTTTCTAATTAAAATTTTCTGTTGTCTATTGATGTATTAATTTTATATTTTTCTTATATATGGCATAATAACATTTAAAGTCTATTGTAAAAGGCAATTATTTATATTAAATAATTTTGAGAATATTTTGATTATTATACAGTAAATATGTAAGTATATTTAATTTTAAAAACAATTTTATTTTAATCTATTTTATTTGTATACTTTTATTTATACATAAGATCATTATTAGATTTTTTGTATAATTTGTCAAATTTTATTTAAAAAATACTTTTTTATTTGTAACATAAAAAATTATTTTTGTTTTAGATTAATTCACCAAATAAATATTCTAGTACAATTTTAAATTGGCCAGATCCGAATGCTTTAATGCAATTTTGTGAGAAACAAGGCTTTCAAACAATAAACATTCCAGCTTATAGTCAAAATAGTACAGTTTTAAGTGTTCAGTCACATAATTTGCCCATGAGAATTATTCCTAATGTGTATGTTCCTCAAACTGATAATAATCTTGATAAGAATGATATAAGTCACTTAAAAAATGGAAGTGAAACAAATTGTAGTACAGTAAGTTACAATTTAAGTATGTAATTTAATATGTACATCTACACACATGTTGTACATTTTAAGAATTGTTACACATTTTATATGTATTTAATTTATTAATAATATTAATTATTAAAATTAAATAACAATTAAACATTAATTGAATTTTTGTAATTTTAGATTAATTCTCAAACTCTTCAACAGCAAAGTTTAGTAATGGCAGAATATCTTCAAAAATTACAGTCATCTTCACTTCCATTAACTTTACAACAATTAATTAAAATACAATCAGAACAAGTAAAGAAAGAAAAAGATGATGAACAAAAAAATGACCAAATCCAAAATATTTTAAACATTCCAAGTGTGCCAATATACAAAAGTCTACAGAATGATACTCAATACCTACATAACGATCATTCAATTGTTCCATTAAATCCAAGTGATGTAAATGTTCACATAGAAGAACAATCTGAAAATACTACACAAGGCCAAACACAAACTAATAAGATAGAGCAAACCATACAAATAGATGTATCTAAGCCTGAGAAGAAAATAAAATTTAGAGCAAAAACTGGTGAGATAAAAATTACCATAGCCCTTGATGGTTCAACTTTATACTGCTGCCCTGAATGCAATCTTGCATTTGCTCAAAAATCTGAAATAGATTTACATTTACAGATACATGTACAGGTAATATCTAATATATAGTAAAGTAAAAATAGCCATTTTTTCTAATTTTTATTTGTTAAAACTTTTGTAATTAACATAAAAAGTTAATAAATCTAATTTTTAGGTTGGAAGAAGTAATATATTTATTTAATACAGTTTCAATGCTTTGATTTAATTTTAAATTTATGAATATAAATAAGTAATAAAAATTGAAAATTAAATTAGAATTATAAATGTCTAATATAAAAATAAAACTAAAATAGCATTTTCATAATATATATTTAGGAGATAACCATTACCTATTGTAAAATTATTAAATTTGTTAATTATTAAAAATTTTAAATAATATAATTATTAGTAAATGTTCCATTTTGTTTGACTTTCTGAAATTATAAAAAAAAATTGTTAATTTAAAAATTTAAATATAAGAATTCAACTTAAAAATTAACATCAATAATTTAGATAAATTCTTATTTATATTAGTTATCGGCTTATTTCAACTATACTGTTTAGGTTACAAATTTAATGTAATATAAGTATTATTAAAATTTCAAATAACTATATATTCAAATATGTTTAATATGAATAGAGATTATTGTTTTTAAAATTATGAATAATATAAACAAATTAAACTAATTAATTTTCCTGGAACTAGATTTTTTTATTTATTAAAACAAAATGATAAAATTTGAATATTCATGAGATATATATTGTGAACATTATATAAGAAAACCTCAAGGACTCAAGCTGTTTTTGTTTAGAAGTTATACTGATTATGATGCACTTTAAAATTTTACACATTTTTTACACATTATTGATTTCTTCGAAAATGTAAGTTTAATTGATAAGGAAAGATATAATGTAAATTCCTTTTGCGTAATTCGGTTTTAAATGTGAAAATTAAAAAAAAATTGTATAACAGTGTTTCTTGCGTCGATGCAAGAATATAAGAATATGATGTTCCCAGGAACGAAAATATCAATGCAAGGAGTGTGGCGCAATGCTGAAACGCAAGGAGCATCTAGACCAACATATGCGTGGTCATTCGGATGAGCGACCGTTCAAATGTCCAGTCTGCCAGAAAGCTTTTAAGCGCAACGAACATCTTACGAGGCACTACGTTATACATTCCGGTGACAAAAACTTTTCTTGCCAAGTTTGTCAAAAGGCATTTTCGCGTAAAGATCATTTAAACAAGCACACGCAAACACACCTCGGAATCAAGAAAACGAAATCTAAGAGGGATATTGTGGAGCTGACAAGTAATGATACTACGACATCGATGTTACTTAGGCCGGATATTAATAATTTTTTTAAAGAAGGTAATTTAAAGCAAGATACAACACATTTCCTTCAACATATACAAAATTTGCAAAAAGACTCAAATCTTATGCAAACTTTCTCCGCCTTCAAAGAACATGTTTTAAAAGATGGCAGCAGCACATTGCAGCAGCAGGCTGTTAATATGAATGAAATCTTACCACAAAACACTAGATATCTTATGCCATCCTAAGATTTATTTTGTTTTCTTTTTGGATTTATAAAAAATATAACAAGGTGCAGTTAATCTTTTATTATGTGAGAATATCTTTACGACAGCAATAAATTAAATGGAAGAAAGGAACAAATATCTTGGCTAGAAAAGTTTATTGGAAAGATACAAAGTTTTTTTCAATAACTGTTAGCAAATCAATTAATTTTAAATGCTAAACTACAAAAATGCTAAACTAAATTCTTATTATAAGTGTACATAACACAATATAAAAGTATTCTGTCATCTTGTGAAAAAATTATTTAATTTTTTTATTATTCAATTTTTAATTCGAATTTGTACTAATAATAAATATAGATTAAAAGTTGAAGATGTGTTCATAAAATAGCTGATCAACCATTATATAGACTCTTTGACATTGTAAATAAGTATAGATAAATAATGTATCTATATTATAAATTATAGAATAAATAAATCCATAATTATAATTTGTAAATAAAATATTAGAAAGACGCTATTTTTATTTATAACTTAAAAGCGTATTAAAGTAAGTGGTATTAATATTTAATTTTCATATAATTTCAAAAATTTATCATGAGAAATATTTGAAATATTTAAAATATTTTGTGAATTTAAAATGAATGTTTTTAATTATTGATAATTTAATTTCATAAAAGTATGTGATTATAAAATCATATGTTTTTTAAGTAAACAATTAAATAATCGAGTATTTAATCATTATTTTAATTAATAATAAAAGAAAACAAAAAATTGAAATATTTTTTATTAAATTTGAGTATTTTTATTTTACATACTAAAATAAATAAAAATAACTGATTATTAATCAACAGTATTTAATATACAAAATTCTTACATATAGTACGTAAAATAAGTATAAATTAAATCACTATTTTTCACTTCAGTCATTATAATGTATTTGAGTAAAATTGTTATACAGTATATTTGCAATACTATAAATATATATAATAACTAATGCAATTTGTAAAACAATAATTTATTTGACTATAATCATTTAATTGTGTTAGAACATTTTTTTGTACTTTGATCTAGCATTATTTTCTCTAATAAGTATATTTTCATGACTAAGTAAAAGTTTCATATTAAATATTTAACAGTTTTTATATTTACTACGATTTGAAATTTATTATTGATTCAAAACAAAATTAAATATTACTTTGCAAGAAATTTTTCTAGCTAAGGATAAGAATTAAATTATTAAATTATAATATATGCACTCTTAAATGTTATTTTAAATGAGAAAATTCATTTGCACATATAAGTATGTACTTAAAAGAGTTGAATATTTTGCAATCGCAGAATTTTAGAATAATGTAAAACTAAATAAGATTAAATATGATAAATTTATTACACGGCGTTGTAGTCGGAAATTTCGTAATGAATTATTAATTTAAACAACAAATAGATTAATGAATGATAAACATTAATTACTTATAAACCGATGAAACTTTATAAGAAATTGTAAGTAACAAAATGTATATTTTAAATAATTCAAAATTGTATTTCATAACATTTTTATTCAGTATTTACTGTCATTTGTATTCAGTAATGCTAATATGAAAGATAAAAAGCAAAAACAAATTTTTATGCAGATGTTTTTTTTTTTAATAAATTTTGTATAATTAAAACTATTTTTGTGAAAAAAATTTAAACATCACGTCTTTTAATCCAATACACTTTATTTTTGTTAACAATTTGTGTTAATATCTTATTATTCTTAATGTCTTACAAAATTTAATCGTTTAAAATTTGTTCTATGACATTATTTTATGTATATAAAAAATAAGTTATTTTATGTTTGTGATTTAACGTATAATATTTAAGATAATGAAAATAACCTGTGTAAATTAACAGATATTTTAAAGAATATTTGCGTACATGGAAAAATAAAATATAGAGAAGTGATCATGTATCGTGATAAAGGATATTTTTTAATTTGTATAAGATATGCATGTGGATAGTATTGGTGTTTTATTTTTTTATTATAAGTATATAATATACTTATAACTGAATAAAATAATTTTAATTTGTATCGTTCGAATAGCATTCACTACTCAATATTTATATTTTTATTTGAATAAAAATAAGTATTTTATTTAAAATATACAATATATGGTATATATATTATTTTTTATTATATAACTGTAACCTACTTTTTATTATTAGTATATTTATAATTTCAATTTTTATTATCAAAAATAAATGAGATTAATAATTGTGAATTACACAATGATTAAAGTTTTACAAATATTGTTTTAATGTTTATTTAATTTTAAATTAATAATTTAATAGTATTAGTTAAAAATAATTTATTGAATTATAAAATTAGCTGACTAGACAGTCTTATTTTTTTTAAATTGAAGAAAACTATGAAACATTTTTATAAATGTTGAATTTCGTGGTTTCGATATTTTACCTAAAATAAATATTTAAAAATATAATCAAATAGTTATTACACGAAACGAAAATGTTAAGAATAAAACTAAATATAATAAAATTAATTCATACATATTAAATTCTAACGTAACAATGATTCCATAAGTGTAATTTAATAATTGATATCGCTTTACAAAATTCTTTGTAATTTATTAATAATAAATTTATTTAAAAATTTAATACGTGGATATATTAAGTAATTATACATAATTATTCTATTAAAAAATTTGCCGTAAACATTACAATTATAGATTAGTTTTTTAAACGTTACATACTCGTACAATCAACAACAAATAAAATTAGTAAGTAATTTAAAACAGTGCTTATTTTAATAAATCCATTATTTCTTCGGAAGATAATTTCGGTGTATTTTGTACCTGCAAACTTGAGTTCGCTGTCATCATCGTAGGTGACCACCATCCCGTATTTGGGTCTCTTAATTGTATGGTATTTGTAAACGTATTAAATGTCTGAGGCATTGTTTGGTTGCAGTTTAATGTGAACGGCAATTGTTGCCGTTGGGACATTTGATTTTGGTGTACCTGGGATGCACCATTACTCGGAAAATTATTTATAGACAAATTTGGTGTGATACTCGATAAGTTCATATTATTATATGACCAATTCAGTTCATTAAAATTATTTGCTGACAATGTATCTGTTAAATCTTTCGGTGTCTTTTTCGTAGTTGTCGGTGAAGTTATACTTGGTATTAATGGTGTCTGATTTTCCATCCTTTGACAAATTTCTTGTTGTTTTGCTAATCTAATATTTGATTGTAAACAAAATTAGAATGTATTAATGAATATATATGAAGTGTACTTTTTTAGATTAGTATATTTTTTAAATTATTAGGAATCATTAATGTCCTCAAACACATCTGCACATTCTATACGCCATGTATATATACTTGTATGTATATATAAACTATGGAATAAGATTTAAATTTATACATTAACATTTTTACAATAATACTGAATATAAAACACATTAATTTTTTTAAATTCGAGAATATGATTTATAAAATATAATGAGTTTTTAATTGTTTTTTATTATATTTTGCTACTATTAAACAAATATATTTTTTTTTATTTCTGTTTTTATATAGCTTCATAAATAGGAACTTATTACATTATTCTGACACTATTATGATTCAAGAAAAATATTTCTTTACAAAATTGTTTTAAAATTATTTATTAAACAATTTTAGAGTTAATTTTTAAAATTTTCTTTATTAAATTGATCTTTTATTACATATTTACAATTAGAAATCTTATTCATACAAAATTTTATTTCTATTCATTATGTTTATTTATGAATGCTCAATGTGCTACTTCATGTGCTGTAAAATTATTTACTTGATTTTATACATTTTATTATGATATTTATATAATATATATAATTTATAATTTTTATTTTATAGAAGAACTTATGTATAATAAATAAAAATGTATTCAATGTTTTATGAAATATTTTAATATTGAATTTAATTTAAAAATATTACTTTGATCTAAAACCATTAAAATTAATTACAATATTACCTATGTTTTTCGGCTAAGCTGAGAGATTGAGATTGAGAGCTTTGCGGTTTATTTTTAATAGATGTCGTGAATGAATTAGATTCAAATATTTCAAACGAATTTGTTGATGATATAACTGTATCTTCAAGTTGATTCATGGATGATGATATGTTTCCATGAAATTGTTTTGTTTTTTGTAGTTGGTGTAAAACTTTCCTATGTTCAATGGTTACTTGGGTAACCATCTCATTTACTAAAGAAACTAATAATTCATATTGTTTTGGACTAAAACTTTGTTCTATGCAAAGTGGTAATAAAAATGGTAATATATTTGTTGCTAAATTTTCTTTACTTATACCTAATTTACTATTTGTAAGAATTAGTTTGAAAATACCTATAATAAAATATAATTTGTTCATTATGCAATTATAAAAATTAATTTACCAGAAATAAATTATAAGCTATTATAAGTAAAATATAAATTATATTAATATTGTAAAAGTTGTAAATGTACCTATCATTGCCATTAAAATAGCTGGCTCACCAGCGCAAGGTACTTGTTGCAGGAATGGTAAGATTTCTTCTTGCACAATCCACGGATCAAGATTTTCTAAAATTTTTGAAAGACACAATAAAGAATTAACTCTTATACCTAAACTGTAATTTTCACTTTTTTTATGTAAACATATTTTTTTAATTCTAGGAATAATCGAATTTTTTATACAAGAACTATCTGTAGACATTATAATAGATGGTAATGCAATTAAACAATGTTCTTGAAGCAGTTCCAAATTTGAATCCAAAGCTCGAGTCATCATTGGTACTATGTAATTTTTTACTATATCTGGTAGACACCACTTTAATAATAATTCTATTTTTTGAAGCAGAAGTAAACTAATCTATAAAAATTTATTTGTCATATAAAATATTTATTTTTAATTTAATCAACAATAATTTATTTAAAAAAATAGTTGTAATATTTAATATCGATAACCATTATCTTTGTGTATAATTTTTGACATAAATGTTTTATTTAATAATATATAAATCAAATTAATATTATTATTATTACTTGTATGAACACAATATATGAATTTTAAATTGATAATATTTTGATAAAAATGTATTAATAAATGTATATTAAAAAACGAAAATAGAATGAAGTTTTCTATAAACTATTTAAATATTTAAAATTGTACTTAAATATAAAATACTATTAAATAAAAAAATATATATAATGAATTCAGTAAAATTATATATTTAAACTTATACATTATACTTAATTTTATAAACCAAAATTACAAAATCATATTATGGACATTTATATTTATCACGAATCACTCCAAATAAGTTATTAAACCTACTCAAATTTTGAATACTTTAAATAAATCTATATTTCAAATTTTAGAAACATTGTTTCAATATAATTTTAATTTTGTTCTATAAATTAAGTATTATCGATATATTATCTAAAACGAATAAAATATTTTTAATAATTAAATAGTTATTTACATTAATTAAGTCAATGCATTTAATTTCACTTAAATTTATCAATTTAGTTTTCGAGTATAAGTTTCGTTTCCTTAATAAGTAATAGCTATATTTTTTGTCACGATATTAACTAAAAATGATGTCATATATTTTAAGTATGCTGTATAGAATATAATATAATTTTTAAAGTTAAAATTAGAAAAGGATCCTTTTTATACATTAGTATTATAGATCAAAGCTAAATGTAAATTAATATGAAAAATACTGAAATATGTTATTTAAATTATTCACTTCATTTTTATTTAAAAGTAATTGAAATCATTACCTGTGGTGGTTCTTCGATTACAAGTATTTGCTTTAGCATTGGAAAAATATGCTTATTAAATTCATCCATAGTACAATCTTCTGTAACTTGAAGAATACTTGGGAGAAGAAATGGAATCATACGTGTATTAATAAATTCTTTTTGTAGAGCTGGAAGAACTTTTTGAAATATAACACGACGTGGAAATTGTTTTAGAATTTGTGGAAGTCTTTTATAAAATTGAGATTTTTGAAGATTATCCCATTGAAATAGTTTATCCAAATAAATTAATGTTTTTACTTCTATATCTTTAAAATATTCAATCTAAAATATATTAATTAGTTATTAAAAATTGTAATTAAATCTATTCTATATATTTCATGAAAACTTCTGTATAATTAAAGTAATTATATTTATTATTTGTATGAATTTTCTTTTATAGTTACAAATTCTGATATATTTTATATATATAAAAAAAAATAATTGTATTAAAAATAAATTGGTATACCTTTATAAATTGATATGCATCAGGTCTTAATTCTGGATCTCTATGAAGCATTAGTTTCACTGTTTCTTTCAATGAATTTGGCAAATCAACATTCAATTCTTTTAGGTAATGTGTATAATTTGATATATCTTTTTGTAAATTCCATGAAGTATTATATGACATATAAAGAAAACAAATTAAAACGCCAAGAGAAAATATATCACTTGTTGGACCTATTGCAGTTGCTTTAACACATTCTGGAGCTTGATAATGCATAGAAGTTTTGATAATACTTGGAATGGAATTATGATCTATATATAGCCAACTTGGCTAAAAAATAAAAATAATAAATAGTCACAATGAAAAAATTATTTATATTATTTAAAAATTTTAACCATAATTATAAGCATTAATAAATTTGATTATATCAATAAAAAATATTAAATATATTTTTAGCTATAGTAACAAATATTGTAAATGTTTATGTTTATTTGTAGTATTACCATAAAAAAATTAAATTTTTTTTACAAAATAAATTTTACTCTTAAAAGTACTTAATAGTAATATATACTTTATCTTCTGAAGCTTGATTAATAGCACAGAAATCAAATCCAAAAATTTTCCAATCCCCATGGTCATTAATAATAATTGATTCTGGACATAGATTTCTATGTAACATTTTCACATCATTATGTAAAAAAGTTAAACTTTCGCCTAATTGAAATAGACCAAATTTCATCTCAAGATCTAATATTTTATAGTCTTTTAATATAGCTTGAGATGAATATGGTAAATTATCTATACATCCTAAAAGATTAGCTAAACTTGCAAATACTGGCTCAGTAGCAAATGATAAACTGTCTCTAGATTCTTCTAATGGATGCTGCACAGTTAATATTTGTGGATGTTTAAGTTTAGTTAGTTGTATGACACCTTTTTTAAGAATTTCAACAACATTATCTCTGATTGATTTCTCCGGCCACTGATCTAATAAACGCTTTTCAAATACAAATATTGCAGCTTTTTGCTTTGTTGATTTTTTGAAACCACTATAAACTTTCCATAATAAACCAGGTCCAGCACTGCATATGAAAGAAGATACTTCAAATTCTCTTGCAACTGGATTTCCAGGTAAAACACTAGATAATTGAGAAAGACCATGAGCTGTACTACTAACTGTGTTACTCAATGTATTACTAACAGTATTTCGTAATTTATTAAGTACTTCCATTTTTATTATAAATCTTCTTATACCTTTTAAAAATGAATTTAAATATTATAATAGAATATAATAGATATAATATAATATAATATAATAATGGAATGCTATGTATTTGTTTACTAAAAGATATTTAAAAAATACATTCAAAATACTAAGTATTTATTATATAAAAAATGGAAAAATTATTTTTATTCATAAAAAATTGATTTGTACAGTATAAAATTATTAAAATTCCAAAGCTTTATTTATGTAAAAATAAAACAGGTATATATATCTAATAATAATAATTTTATTGTACTGCAATTTCAAATTCAGATTTGTAAACAATCATACACTACATATAGCAAAAGATAATTAAAAATAAAAAACTTGAGCGAACCAAAATTGATACATTAATATAGATGTTAAACACTTAAACCAACAGCTTTATGTATCATAAAGAAAATAATTATATGTGAGCATTTGCCCGTATATTCGAAAACCAACATTTTACACCATATTTAGTAATTAAGATATATTACTTTATAAGTATTATTATATAAGAATATTCATTTAATTTGTAGAATTCAGTTCCAGCAACGTATTCTTCTATTTTTCTTTTCTAGACAAACAAGACTTATGCGCATGCGCCTGTATATATTAAATACTGTGAAGTAAATACGATACCACGCCATTAAATCATTAGTTTTTAATAATAACTTATTATGCTTTGATAAGAACTTTAAATAATGTTTATAAAACCGTGAGAAGATGATAGATAATTATGTTAAATATAATATTACATATAAATAATAGATTTATTTTTACTATGGAGTGATCATGTATTTTATTGTGCATATATTTTATTTTAATTATTTAATTTTCAATTATTTTTTCTTGGATACTTACAGATATTAAGTATTATTTATATTAATGTTGTAAATTAATTTATAATATATACAAATACATAATATTAAATGTTCAGATAATATAAATAAACAAAATGAAATAAACTCAGTGTTACAAAATATGTTTATTTATGTTAATTACTATTATAATTATTTATAATTTATATCGGTCACATTCTAAAATATATCCTAAAACCTAGCCATTTAAATAATTGAATTCAATAGATATTGAATTTTTTAAATGAATATTACAAACACCTATTGATACATTTTATAAAATTTATAATATAAATTCGATTGAATATTTTCTGTAAAACTTAACGTTTTGATTTTAAAACTTTATTTCGTTGTAGAATGTAAGTAAAACAATTGAAGTGCCAAAAGAATTACTAAAAATCTAAAATATGTTAATTTAAATTTTAATACAAAATATTGAATATTATTCTAATTTTTAAAATATTTAAGAATTAATTTTTCTATTTTTAATTTTGTTATTTTATCTAAATAATTAGCTTTGCATTTTTTAAGTACTTCAAATTTTTATTTTTAATAAAAGATAATTAAAACAAATTAAATACTTCTAAAATATAATTTAATTATTTAATACGTCGGTAGTTTGACTTAAATACAATATTCTTTCTTTATTATTTTGAAATATCTAATTTCATGCAAATATTTTAAATAATTAATTTTAAATTAATTTTAAATTATTAATTATATTAATTATACAATAACAATAATATTAATATTATTATATGATATAATAATAAGATATAATTATACTGTAATAATAATTATATTATAATTATAGTATTGAACAGTGAAAATTTATAATTAAATTAGTATACTTGAATAAATACAGAAAAGATTAAGTGTTACAAAAAATTGTAATTTTATTTTATTATTTAAATAAATGAATAATCTTGAAGTTTGTAAGTTATAAAATAAAATATTTTTCATTACTTTTTTTCTTTTTGGATTATCCTCTTTTTTTCTCTTTTTCTTAACAAATATTTGATAAAAATCTGCATTTAATTAACAATTTTAATTCGAACTACTTTTGTAAAGTATTTCTTTAAAATATATATATTAATTTTAAACATAAGTTTTCAAATAATATACATGCCACGCAAGGAGTTATATTTTTAATTTGTTTATTAAATATATTAATCAAAAAATATTCGTAAACCATAATAAAACATTGTTGGAGATCTTTCATGTTTGCTACAATTAGAAAAAAGTGTTCCATTTATTGTGATTTTTAATTTTATGATTTTATGATCTGTTATTATTTGAAGACACATACTATTTTCATAAATTATTCAATTATACTTGAATGTACTCCCTATTTATTAATTTCTCAAATCCTTTTATTTTATGTAGTTATATACGCCTAACAACAATTAAAAAAATTAAAATTCTAAAATTATACGTTTTTATTACTATCTAGTGTAACATTAATCACACATTTGAAACATTATTAAATATTGTAGCAAATTAATTTTATATGTGTGCGTGCGCGCGCGCGTGTGTGTGTGTCTGTGTTAATAGTACAGTATAGTTTAATATTTAATTGAAATCTTATGAGAAAATATATATTAGAAAGAATGATGTAACTTTTCATATCCTTTTGGATTTCGTTCAATAAATCACAATGAAAATTTTTTGTTGGACTCTTATTTGAGCTTGAAAGAAATTCTACCAACAAGACCACGTGCTTGTTACTTTGGATACTCGGGCCTCTTAAGCGCATGTCTCACGGCTACGCGACATAATATCGATTACCGAAGTTGGAGTTAACGGCACAGGTAGAGGTGAAGTCAGAGTCCAATAACGTCATGGATGAGCTTCTGCTGCAGATAGTGAAAGAAGCACAAAATGCCAAGTACCAGAATTTGAAGGAGGCTGCCCAGGATGCCTATGGTGAGTCTTTCTCTGTTAAGACAGTTTTTTTTCGGATATGTTTAAATAAAGTCTAGTAAATTTCGTTGTTGATTTTGCAATAAAAAATAAACATAATACAGACTTTAGATAATTTTGTTATAGAAAAAAAACATATGTTCGTTTTTTTCTTATTGATATCAAAAAGAAATAAGTTGTAGAAGTTGAGTAACTTGTACCTATTAATATTTTAAGGTAGTAGTGGTGTGACATTATTAAGCACGTTTGATTAAACAGAAATGTGAGTGGGAGACATAAGTATTGAACATAATGATGAATGACTTGAGTCGATTTCTAGGTCAATTCGAGTAATTTGTAGTTATATATAAGCAGTACAACTTTTTATTGATTGATGTCGAGGATTTTGGATTGTTACAGATTTTTTGGATAAGCAGCAGGGACTAATACGCGATCCACCTCATGAGCTACGTGCTAAGTTTTTACGAGCAATTCAGCTCGCTTTTGAGACGAAAAGGAATAAGCTGATTGCCTTTGCCCTCTCCGGTTTGCACGTGAGTATATACTTTCCAAAATTGAGAACACTCGTTTCCTTTTTCCGTTCTTTTTAATTCAATAAACGAGATGAGATGAGTTATATTCAAGATTGATATATAGATGATTCCGAGGGTTTATTGTATCTAAGAATCGAAGGATCGTTTTTTTTTTTTAATCAAGTTTTAGGCTTAAGTTCGATAAATTTTAAAGTTGAAATGTTTTTCTAATCTAACAATGTGGGTAGAAAATGCTGCGTGATGATAGATTTCAGTCGCAGTACGAGCCGGAAGATGATTCACTGTGGCTTCCCGCTCAGATGCTTCATGCCATGGGTTCCATTCTATCGCAGTCTGATGACACTCAGACTGCCATGCTCAAAGTACGTAACTTGTATTTCATTATGTTAATTACACTGATTTGTTTTACATTATTATTATTTTTTATATTTGTTTTATTAAGAATAGCTTCCATATTTTCAAAATTTAGAATTGTTTAAGTTAAACTTGTTGTTAAATGAAAATGCTTATGAAAGTATTGAATGCAAAATAAATACAAATAAATATTAATTTACTCAAAAAAACATTTATAGTTAAAAGTTAAAAGATTTTCTTATAAAAAATAAAATAAAAAATAAGTGAAAAATATAGCATGAGTTTATTAAACAAATAATTTTTTATTGTAAAATTAAATCTACCTTACTATTTTTATTAATTTTCTTATATTTATTTTAAATACAAGTATTAACTTGTAAAGAAGACGTACAAATATTTGAATATATTTTTAGAACAGAAAATTGCATTATAAATATGTATAGGTAAAATAAATAAAATACCGATTAAAAATGAATATTATAAAGTATTAATGAATGATAAAAAATGAATTAATTATTGCATTAAATTATGATCTTATATCTTTGAATACTTACTTTTGGGTCAAATAAAAACATAAAATTTTATTTATTTAGACATTTAATATTTTATATATACTTTTCTATGTTCTGATTATTTGCATTAACAGAGATATAGATTTTTTTAAATTTTAAATTCTTTAAGTATATTAATTTCGACGATATTATTTAATATGATATAATTTGCATAAAATATGTAAATTAATATTTCCTATGTAAATTAGTAAGATCAAGTAATTTAAAAATATTTAAATTAAAAAATACATTTATAATATTAAAGTTATAGAAAGATCATATTGCAAAATTTATTACGCATCTATTATTTATTACACAAATTATAAATATTATATAAGTATTATTTATTATTATTATATAAGTATTCGTGGTTATATAATTTCATTGATAGATTTATCAGAAAAAATGTATATTTTACTTATAAATTACTAAAATATAAAGTTTAATTATGAATTTCAATATCAATTTTTATTTTGTAAATATTTTGTATATTGTTAAAAAGATTAATTAAGTAAAGATTATTAATTTCAATAGCTAAAAATACGTTTTAAATTCTTATTTAAATAAATTTTCTTAGTAATATCCAAACTTTATGTGCATTAAACATTTTAATAAGTTTCCTGTCGTACTAATATTTAAAAGGGTATCATTTTTTATTAGGTATTGCTTCAAGTATCGTGCTGTCGATATTGGACAATGAATGGTCGACTAATAATAACAATTTTAACAACATGTTACGAAGCTTTTGAATATGGAAATCAGGCAGTAAAAACTGCGGCCCAAGCAACCATTAGTCAAACTTTGCGTTCCTTCTGTCTATTTTTAGGTAAGTTTTCACTATTTTTTTTATTCTGTTTTATAATATATTTCTAACTAATAATTACATTTTTGTAGACGAAGAGTGCTATGAAATGGATGAAAATTCGAAACGTAATAAAAGTATACACGAACGTGGTGTTGCTTGTTTTAATGAAACTTTACCGATTTTCCAATACATTTGTTGTAAACTCGATGAAGCTCAAAAGTAAGTTCATGAACTTATAATATTACTTATTTCAAGTATTTGTTATTTCTTTATTTTTTCAAAAGATACAATTTATTATTTTATTCATACTCTGTGTAAATACACATATAATTTCAAATTCAAATTGCAATTGATTAAAATAGAATTTTATTTTACAAATCTATTACATGATACTGTTTAATTATGCAGTGCTCGGAATAGTAGCACCGTCGTCTTCTTATTAGAGAGCTTGCTTACTTTGACCTCGTCTATGCCTCAGAAGATTAATACAAGCTTTCACTTCACGACTTTTCTTTGGCAGAAATTCTGTCCAGCTTTAATAGCCTTTCTTGGAACACCTCGAGTCGACAAGTACTTTACATCTCGCGAGGGTAAAGATTTAGAAATCGGCCGTGGCTCCGGATATCTTACAAGTTCACTTGGATTTAATAGCCATCAAGCTAAAACTATATACAGGTACAAAACTACATATGATTTTTGTAAGCTCTATGATTTTAAAATTATGAATCGTGAATAGTAAAATTGTTGACTAATTTGTATATAAATAATAGAAATACAATCAAAAGTCAGTAAACAAAAAAATATTTATTATGACAGTTAAAATTGCCATTATATTTCAATAATTTGAGTCCTATACTTTTTTTATTAAATTACGAGGATTAAGCATTTGATTATTCTTTATAATTTAGTATGCAAAAAGTATTTAAGACATTATATTTATTACTTTTTATGTTGAGCTTTTAACAATTATATGAAACATAATTTTTCATTTACAGACTTAATTTTATTTTTCATAATTTATTTATTATTTGATTTGTAAAATTTTTAAATACATTATTGATAAATAGTTTAAATTTGTTCATGAACTGATATTAAGAAAAAAACATATTAAGTAAAAGGTTAATAAATGAAGGCAACAATTTATTGTATTTTTCAATAATTATTTAATGCTTATTTGTAACAATTTTATACATTTTAATAAATTATTTTTCTCTATAAGTATTGGAATAGAATTGGTAAGGCTGGTTGGTTGCGTGGGAGCACTTCGTCCCGTTCTTGAATCAGTCTTTCATCGCATGTTACTCTATCCACCTCCACAACAGCGTTTAGAATCTCTTAAAGCTTTAAAAGAGCTTTTACAAAATCCAAGCCGAATAATCGATTTTGCTGGTCCACTTCTTATTTTAGAAGATAAATCCAATCAATTACAGAGTGATATGGCGTTGATGAGGCTGTGAGCAATGTTTTTTATTTATATTTTTAATTTATAGATTACTCAATATAATTTAAACGTTCAAAAAGTATAATTAAATAGTTTGATATTCCTGTTTCTAGAAATATTTATTAATAATGGTATAATTAAATAAAAATAATTCATAATACTAATTGCCATTATACGTTCAGTTCAGTGGTAATTTTTAAGAAACTTTTATACAAAATTAACAAACATCAATGTAAATAAAATATAAGAAATTCATAAAGGAATTGGAATTATAATATTTATAATAAATTATTTATTTAAAAATAAATATTGTACTTAAAATCCTTATTTAAAATAAAGCATTTATTCTTTAAATCAGTTCTTACATACAATATTCCAAGTCAAAAGAAATTATGAGTAAAATAGCTAAATATTTATGATTCTCACAAAGTAAGAATAATTGATATCAAAATTATTAATAATTGAAAAAAAGATAAACATTTTAATTTTGGAATTAAAATTATTTTTCTGCACAGTGCAATGGATTCTATTGAAGAATCGACAAACGCTAGTCTACCGCTTTTACAGGCAAGCGTTTCATGTGTCGTAGCTATGCTCTCGTCACTCCAAGAGCTCTGTGATGGAAACATTATTAATTGCAATTATACTTATACAATCAATAGTCTTTACGACGATCTTGAATCTTGCGATTATCGAGGTCCTCTTACTTACCAAAGCATGGCGCGTCTCCCTAAGACTTACAGGTATTTAAATGTTATTCGTTTTCGCAATTGTATTAAAAAAAAAATATATATATATATATATATATAACACTTAATGCATTATTTATCGTTTTTTTTCAATCATTATTAGTACCACAAAGAATTATTGTTTATATTTAAAATAATCATTACTGGGAAAAGTGATATAATTAGAAGGATTAGGGTAATATTGTTATATTTATTTTGTGAATGCTACAATGCTTGATTTTTTGCATTTAGAAAACTGCAAGAAGAGAAAATTACAACTATCATTTTTGTAAGGTACTTTATTTTAGAAAATACTGTTTTAAAACTGTGCACAACACAACGTCATGTGATATAAGTAATTAATTGTATAATGAGTATTCAATTTTATTTGTAGAACCATTAATTAATAAAAACGATATATTATTGAAATTAACAATAACTATGAAAATTTTAATAAATTTTATTCATCAGCATTATTAGTATTATAATAATATAAAATAATCTTTATTTTCTTTTAGACTATAATTAACTAAATATAAATACAATTCTGCAGTAATAAGTTTAAACAAATGCTAGCAAGACAGTTTTCCAACGTTTTCAATTGAATTTATTAAAAATAAAATAAAAAGTAATGATATATTAATACACAGGGAGCAATTAGAGTTAATGAAGAAAAACGTTTCCAATTCCAACTTATCAGGATATAAACTCTCCAAGAGTGAAGAGTCCATAAATACTAACAGTCCAAAAAGTGAAATCATCGAAGATCTTATGGAGGAAGTCAATAATTGTTATGAAGACACAGAATATGATTTAGTTAATGAACATGAAAGGATAAGGCTCGAGAAGTTACCCAAGCATCTACACGTGGGTCGACAATGCATTGAGGAGTATAATATTGATGTACAACGACATAATGCCCGTAAATTCGTTAAGATGCTTAGGCAAGATGTAATACCATCAGTATTTAAGTTAAGAAGTAATATCGAAGTTGATGAAGCTCTTCAGAATTTTGCTTCGAATTACTGCCAAGGTGCGTTTTTGTTTTTATACTTTGAGTGTTTATATATTTTAAGGCCACATAAATCTTTTTGAGACGCCATATAATTCAATGAAAAAGAAAGAACTATAATTAAATTAATGTAAATAATTTAATGAAATGTTTAAACAAATTCGATAGATCTTGCTCTTTCAAATATGAAACATAATGTACATTGAAAATGCATTACTGATTACGTAATTCATACAATGTTAATTATTATATTTAAATTGCAACTATTTAATTTTTTAGAGAGTACATTTACTGATAAAATTTATAATATTAAAATTAATAATACATTATATTCTGTAGTTTTAATACTTATTAATATAAACATTTATTTCGATAGTAACAATTTATTGCAATATTGACATGTTCAATGTAAATACATTAAATGAGTGTTTATTATTAATCTTATGAACTAATTAATTTAATTATTTAAAAAGTATATTGTTATTTACATTATAATACTTCTTTTATCCGTTAAAAGAGCCAAAAATTTGTATTTCAAGTTCATACATGACTTAAAAGATATGTTGTATTTAAAACTGAGTGAAAGTACTTTGATATCGTCAGACATCAGCATAGCATACGTTCGTTAATTTATTATTTTCATAGCTTTGCAAATAATTTTTTTAAACTTTCCATTAAATATTTATTAATTTTTATAATTCATATTAGTAAATATATTTTACTAATATTTTCGTTGAAGTGATAGTATAAATTTAGAAATTTAACCATTTTAATTCTAATATTATTTTTAAAAAATATTAATAAATAAATGATTATTTTATTTCTAAATAATTTTTTTTAACGGATTAAAGTAAAAGATGTTTAGTAAAATTTTTTTGTTAAAAATCAAACTATCATATAATCAAATTATAATACAAATACTAAAAGATTTAACATTTTTAAAAAATTTACTAAAAATATGGTAAAGATCAAATTTCTAAATCTACGTGTAGAACTTTATGTAAAATTTTAAATTAAATAAATTTTTTAGGAGTATTTGCAGCCCAACAAATGGTTGAAGGTCAAATAGAATCTAATGCTAAAAATTGTGCTTTAATTACAATAATGAATGCAGATGGAATATATTTAGCAACATATGCAGCTTTGTTACTAAATTTAAAATTGATACGTATCAATTATTATGTGAATCCTAGCTGTCAAATTCCAATCAATGAAGTAAGAATTATACAGAATAATATTTGCATCGAAAATTTCAATTTTATTATATTCTAAAAGTCAGTTTAGAATATCTATATATAAAAATAAAATAAATTTTTTATTATAAAATGTAATTTCCAATTTATGTATGATTACTAATTTATATTTGAAAATTCTACGAATTATTTATCTAACACATACAATAACGAAGCTTCTTTCCATACGGAAACATATCTCTACACAGGGTTTTCAAGATTTATTCATCTCATTCCAATTTCATTCCAATATGCAAGAAATGCAATTTATTGTATTCACTTTTTTTTATTTACTATTAAAGTGCAGATCGAATAATCCATGAATCTGTTTACAAAGGCGCTGATATTCATTGGAAAACCGACAAGGGAAGTCATTAGGGGAGAGAGTGAGAGAGAGGGAGGAAAAGTCTGTTTCAGGGGAAAGTAAATATTATAAGTTCGTACAATGAATATATTTAATAACAAAAAGACCAATAACATTGATATTATAGATTAATTATATTAGTAAAATCTACCCATAAGGTATTTGCATCGCATACACAATACAATCTTAGTATGTATTAGAGTTCTCTGCATCTGTATGTATTCTAGTATGTTATGGGCTAACTACAATTTTATTGTCACAAAAGTAAATTATTTGTCCATCCCTCCTCTCGCACTTACTGATTTGTCGTTTTTTAAAGATTTTCTTTTGATAATCTCTCATTTTTCTTTTATTTCATCTCATTTCATTTTCTTAATTCCTTTTCCTATCTCCTCTCCATTACTTTATTCTATTGTTTCTGCTTACCGATTGTTGTACATATCTTTCATTTATTCTATTACTGCACATTTGAGATTTTTTTATTTAATTATCATGTTATTATATGATTCGTGCTTCTGATTTTTTTGTTTTTCTAATGAGTCCCTTTTCGATTGAAGACTAAGATTTAATTGTTTCGCATTTCTTGTACATCATTCATCCTTTTTGGTTAGTTTTCTTTTGTGTCGCCTATCATTTTTAATAGATTTTGCATTAAAAACACTCGGATGCCTTGTTATAATATAAAGAAAACTTTATTTTAACATTGCAGGTTTTAAGAATAATTTATTTATTATGTATATTGTATCTTTGTTTTAATTTACATGATTATTAAAGCAATCTAGTTTTACAATTAATTATTTTTATAAATATACATTTTTTTACAATATGAACATTATTAAATTCTTTTTTTATATTTTCTTAATTTAATATGTTACATGAAATGTAAAAACATAAGCTATCATTGTAAATTTCATTATATTTTCTTTAGTGACTAAAAAATATGTAAAAGATTTCATTTCGAAAGCAGTAACTTTTTAAAATATTTCTCCTTACTTATTTAAAGCAACTAAATAAACAAGTCACTTGAAATTTTTATTATACAGGAACAATTCGTGGAAGAGGTACATGGAGCAGGTGTACTCGTTTACTTGTCAGCTACCTGGTTGTCCGAACTGTATCAACAGATCCTCGTTTGTAACCTAATGGAGAAATGCGGCTACAATCCTTTTTCTAATGATAATAATGCCCTTATAAATGTCCTTATTGATATAGATGGTATTACAGGTAGTTATACAGGTGGTCAAGTGCTTTCTGACTATTTGCGATTAGAAAAAGCACAATTGTCGCGCAATGAGTTAACTCCAGAAGCAAAAGCTGGAGCAAAGTTATCGAGACGGATAATCACTTGTTGTTGGGATAGTATGATTACAGTATTGTCTATGGGTTTAAATCCCAATCAAGATGAAACTACTAAGGGAATAATAAAGAATGATTGTAAAAATGTAGTTAAAGACACGATAGTCCTAGCACTTGAGGGATTGCATAGAGCGGCAACACTCAGCAATGTCTTAGGTAATTAATTCTCTTAAATTAAATGTCGATGAAGCGTTGAATTATACATTTAAAAGGTTGAATATTATATAGTGTGGGAATTTGAACTACTTTGTTATGGAATTAGTTATTTGATATATACCGTGATGGAAATATTGCATAACATAATATGTTCCAGTATTATTATTTAAATTTATTATTGAGATAAGACCTGGGACTGTCAAACTTGCATACACTTACTTTTCTTATTTGTTAATTATATCTCAGCTAACTATGCATTATATATTTAAAAATTAAAGTTTTGAATACATTTTCAAATCTATTTTAAAAAGTATATTTAAATTTCATTATTTTTAGTATAGTATAGTCACCAAAATAAAATTTTCGATTTATAATACATTATGAACTTATATTAATAAGTTATATTGAATTTTTTTAAATATTAAGCATATATTATAGAAAATATGTATCTACATTAAGTTAATTTCAAAATTAATTTTGTTATTATAATTCAAAATTAAATATAAAATAATTGTATTGCTGTATTTGTAATTAAAAAGTATATTTTTAATTAAATAGGATTACAATACAGATGTGGTGCTATTTTTGCACTTTTAGCAAAGACTGCATGTTCTGAACAGTTAATTTCAAAATTGAGACGTACAAAAAATGTTCTCCGATTGAAGCTTCAAAATAAAGCTACCAATATACACACATCACATGCTTTAAGTATGGAAATTCTTCTAGGAAGAAGTTTAGAGCTTGGAAGTCACGGAACCGATTGTTGGCCACATGTTATTACGTAAAAAATTGAAAAAATTAAATTTTATAAAATCACTTTAATAGTTTTATTATACTGAAAAACAATTTTTTATTAGAAGCTTTAGCAATACGATTAACTGACTAAATTGAATTATACATTTTAAAATCATTAAACATTAAAGGTCTATCTCAAAAGAAAAACATTAGTATTTTCAATAAATTATTGTTTGTATAGTAGTCTAAATTAAGTTAAGAATAAATTGTTTTTACAATATATATAGTTATCTAAATAATTTTCTAATATTTAAAGTTTTTATGTATTAATTAGATGCTGTTTGTATGTTAGTAAATTAGAACATGACTTTTTTGGAAAAAATCAAAATATAGTATTTTTAAAACCAGTAAAGAAAGAAAAAAAAGAATTTAATAATCAAAAAATTAATTGCAAATCAATTCAAGACAAACTTCACATGAGTTTTAATATTGTCGACGATGACGATACTTGGTGAGATTTTTACAATCATACTTAAATAAATGTATTTACAATTATCGTAATAAAATATGTATATATTCTATTAATGATTAGGATTAATTTTTTTATCATTTCTTATTTGTTTACTTTTAGTGTTGATGTATATGGATTTTTATCAACGTCTTATACGCAGACTACAATAAGTGAATCGATACCCGAGATAATTCAAGAGTCGAACGCTGATAGTTTATTCGATGGTTTTTTACCAGCTGAATATGCTGCAAAAATTGTTTGCGCATTATCGCAGAAAGTTGATAGACTTTTCGAGAATGCAGCTCTTAAGCTGAATCTACGGGCACTTTGTTCTTTTCTGAGAGCATTATGTCAAGCCAGCAAAGATCAATTATTTAAAAGTAATGATGATACAACAGGAAACAAAAAAATCTGGTGGCGGAGAAATAAGCCACACGATGAAGAACTTAATCTTCTGTTATCAAGACTAGGACAGGCAAGTTTTATTAAGACTTTTAACAAATATTATTTACAATTTTATTGTTCTGATCTACAGATAAAATATAATATAAAATGATATTAAATACATTAAAAATGAAAATTTAAAAATAGAAGTTTTATACAAAACGAAACTTTAGGTTATATTGAAATGTGTAAAAAGTGGACGTCCATTAATTCATATTATGAGGGTGTGGAGTATATTGGGGCCACATTTTATGGAAGCAGCGTGTCACAAGGATCATGGAATTTCGAAAAAAGCGGTACAATGTATTCACGATACAATTGCAGTATTACTCAATGATCAACGCGAGCTTTCTCATTTTCACTTTAATGAGGCACTTTTTAAACCCTTTGAAAATATTTTGTGCCTAGAACTTTGTGACAACGATGTTCAAGATCAGGTAGGAAAATATATTGATAAGATCTGTTAAACTTATTGTACACTTCTTAAAGAAGTAGACAATAGAGTTATAATACTAAAAATTAATTTCAATTACTGGAATTATAAGATATTGAAATAATAAAGAATTTATGTTCAATAATATATACGGAAATCCCACATCATAGTAGTTAAAACATTAACAAAGTATAAAAATTAAAGTTATTAATTTTATAAATGCAAAAGTTATTATAGATGATTAAAATACGGTGCAAATAATTATAATAATGTTCAATTATCCATTTTAGATATTAAATAATTTTAATTAATCAATTAATTAATTCAAAATTATTTTATAAATTATAAAATTTTGTTCGTTATAAATAATAACATAAGATCATAATACTTAAAAAAAGCTCAATAAAAATTCAAAATAATTAAAATTTTTTAATTTTATAAGTAATATATAAATAATTTTTTTTTCAAATAATTTGTTTTTCAAATAATTAATAAACAATATTTTTTTATTACAAATAACTGATATGAGTATATAACAAATACCATCTTTCAGATTATTAGCTGTATCTGTGAATTTGTGGAAACAAATCGTAGAGAGATTCGCTCAGGTTGGCGACCGCTTTTTGGCGCGTTGAAGGTTGCCTCAATAGGTAACGCTGAATGCGTTGAATCGGCGCCCTTACTCGAAGTTTTCCGCATTTTTCTCACTACTGATAATACGCTCGTATTTGCTAATGCCGCTCTCGATTGTATACTCTGTCTACTAAAGCATGTACGTGGTATTAGCGACCCTGAGATATTTCAGAAAGAGCTAAAAAATGACACCGTAAGTTTAGCTTTTTTCATCGATATTTTACATGTAGCACTTTTGTACTCATTTATTAATTAGTAAATAGTTTTCATGGTAAGGAGGAATAAAATTTGAATAATTAGCATAAAATTGGATAACGTTTTCATATTTTGATACATATTTAAATATTTGAGCTTTTAATTATAAATGACTATTTCTTTCTAATTGTTACTTAAATTAGTTATAAAAAGATTACTGTAATTCAGATAAAAAATAATAAATTCAGATTTAATTCTATTTCTAAAAAATGTTATTATATAAAATGTGAATTATGAAAGCCTTAATTTAGTTTTAAAGAATATACGGAGCTATTCTATGTCTATTGTAGAATACAATATAGAATTTAATTTAAATTTGAAAAATATAAATAAATAAAATTGTTTATCTAATTATTATGCTTTATTAAAATCTAATATAGTTCTATTAACATCCCCTGTTGATATTAAAAATATTCTACTAGGACGTGGAACTCATAACTTTTTTTTATTCTAACTCGTTAACGAATTTTCCAATCGAAAAATGAGCAAGAGAAAGACAGTTTGCATATATAATATATTGTGTGTCTTTTTGGAACATAAGGAAAACTATTTTAAAGACAGATAAATAATATTCTGATATTATTGCTATAAATTAAGTAGTGGAAACATTATAAAAATATACAACATATGTTTACAGTTTATGTTACTATTTCTAGTTTTATTTACTTTAGGCCTATTTTTCTGATTTGCAGCAGATATAGAAGGAATAATTTTTTATTTTTCAAAAATATTTACTATTAGTAATGTATAATGACACATGGTGATATTAAATTCCGTGAAATTTAAGAAATCACTTTCATTCAGTTCATTCAACTATATCAAAAAGATAAATCATACTATCTTGATCCAAATATTCATGTTTCTAGAATTTACGACGGTTTCTCATATTTTTGTACGTACTTTGATTTTCATTGCTTAATGAGCATTCCTAAAAGAATAATAATTAATCAAAAAATATCTATAATATATGTCTGATATGAAAAGAATTCAATATAAATGTTTATTTGTATTATAATTTTCTTGGTATTTAAAAATTCAATTATTGTAAATTTTTTTATACTTTAAAAGAAATAAAATACATAAATATAATTAATGTATTATTAATACTTCATCTAATTAATTGATATATATTTTAAGAATATTTTTACAGATTAGTAAACGATTTTATTTTTCATGCATTTGTATTTGCCATTCGAAAATAAAGCATAAATATAGAATAAAGAGTTATTAATTTTTTTTATAATTACTATTAATAATTTTGTTCACTATAATTAGTAAGTAAATCATGATGTTAATATATTTTATTTTACAGGAACAATTTAATGATACTGAAGATCGGAGAATGAAATTGTGTTTGGAAAGTCTAAGATACCTGCTTAGCTGTAGCAATATTCTTACATCTATGTATCAAATGCCGACGTGCCCGATTTTTCATTCAGCTACAAGGATTCCAATGTCTTCTATACCACAATATGTCGATCCGGTAATACCAAATTTACAAACTGCATTTTTCGATTATAAAATGGAATCTTTGAATAATATTGTGCCAAATGTATCAACTTCACAAGATTCAAAATTTACAAATTTACAGAGTATTGATCAGCCAAGTGGAATTCTCAGGTATATAATTTTAAATTACATATTGTAATACAATAATAATCTTGGTACTATAGTAAAAATTAAATAATATAATATAAATTAAATTTATTAATATATTGTAATAATTGATTTAAATATGTTAAATTAAATGTGACAACAATTGTGGCATATATTTCATTATAAATTATTAATTTACTTTACTAAAGATTATTAATTAATCTTTTAGTATGCCAACTATAAACTTATTAAGATTTTTCAATTAACTCTTAGATTATTTACATATATTATTTTTTGGATCTTAACATTCACATATTATGACAAAACTACGTGTAGCATTTTTATAATAATATACGGTTTTTCAAGAATGAAAACAATTCCAGAAATATTTTGCTATAATAATATAGGCAGTATAATAATAGATATTTTATATATTTATTAGAGTTTGGTATTTATTAATCGAAGGATTAGCAAGTGCTATGATGATTTGCCCTAAAAAATATCAACCACATACTTTAGAAATGTTGTTTCATTTACTCAGAAACACATTAAATACTCCTGGACCATTTTTCGGATTATATTGTATCAATCATTTATTGCTACCAATGGTACAAAATTGGTTACGAAAAATTTCTAAGATCTATAGAGGATGGGACGATTTTGCTGTAAGCTTTAAGCAGTGCTGCGGGCTTACCACTGATTTAATTGTTGATTTCATAGATAATTTACAAGGTAGGTCAATAATTTATTCAAAAGTATGTTAGAAATTAAAACATGTTATTCATTAATATTATAACTATAATATAAATATAACAATAGTATATATGCGTATATGTGTTTCATATATATTTTATATTTATGCATATACTTTGTGTTATATGGTTAATATATTTATTTTTAAACAAAAAAAATGTTGTAATTTATTCAGCTACAAAAAGAATTAATTATAAACTATTCATTTCAACATGTAATTTGGTGTAATATTATACATGTTCACTGTACAAGGTCATATATTTAAAAAATTTTCATAGTTAACTCGGTATCGTCGCTTTCATTATATACCTGATGTATTTAAAAAATATTTGAAGAATACATTTATTTATTTGTATTATTAAAATACTAAAATTATAAATAACTTTATATTAATATATCTAAAAATTTAATGTTTTATATTATACTAAATATTATTTCCAGATTTGCATTATTTCAAATCAATATTAATTTTTAACTATGAATAATAATAGAATAACTTTAATAAATTTAATTAAGTTAAATGTATATTTATTAAAAAAAAAGATTTTAATTACATAATACTTATGTAATAGAGAAAATTTCTTCTATTATATGTATAATTTCAATAAAGGTTGTAATAATTGAAAAAAAAACAATAAAATAATTAGATTATATTATTTAAGGTACTGAATTAATGCATAAAAAAAATAAAAATCAAAATTATTTACAGGCCCAGCTGTAAAAAAAAATGAAAATTTGCTGTCAGTAACAACACTGATGTTAAAACAATTCTTCATGGTGATGGCAGAGTGTATTGTCCAACCCATAGAAAGTATTGCGCGACTAGGCTGTGCTTGTATTAGGTATATAATTTGTATTATTAACTATTTTATAATAGTTAAGAAAATTAACTATTAATTGAATTAGACATTTTTTAGTAAGTGTGTAATACTTTAAAAAGATTGCAATATCTATTTATACTATATTTTTTATTATTCATTAATATAATACTAATGTTTTTGAATAATATTAACCTTTATGAAAATGTTAGAAGTTTAGTAAATTCTTTATTGATAAAGCCACTTTACTTTTATGTTTGAATGAAAAAATGTAATTTAAAAAATATTAATACTATATTTATATAATCGGTTTTAAGTAAACTTTTAGAATAAAAGTTAAATATAGAATAAATAAGATAATTTAAAATTTAAAGTGAGAATTTTTATATTCATAACAAAACCGATACTAGCTTATATAAATATATGAGTAATAAGGCATAACTGTGTATAAAAACATATTCAATTTTCGTATTGATAATAATTTCTTGCGTGAATAGACTAGTTTTTTGTATTAGGTATGTTGAATAAATAGAATATTGGATGCAGAAGAGAGTAAGAGACAAAAAAAATATGCACGGTATCATAGACTCATAATTCGTTGCTCTTCCATTATGAAACGCGATATAACAAGATTTGACAAGCTGTCATCTATCGTTACGCATTCACACCGTTGATATTGATATTATGTATACAGATATATCCGTACATAAATACATTGTCGTTATATTTCTCTCTTCCCCTCTCCTGTTATTTTTCACTCGTTCTTATAGTCCACTTTATTTAGTCAAGTCTTTTACTTGCCTTTTTTACTGCACTTTTTATACTTGTCTTCTACTATATTAGCGGTTCTCAATTTTTTTTATTAAATTTTTTGCTCATTTTAAGTTATTATTAATATATATTCTTTATATAATAATATTACATTAGCACAATATACTTAAAATTATATAGTAATTCATAAACATTCTTTTTTTAATCTTTTATGTATTTTATATTTAAAAAAAATTGTATGTCATTATAAATAGTCAGATATACAATTTTTATTATTTTAATTGAATTATATACAAATCTTTTGACTGAATGCAACTATGACAATAATGAAAGAAAATTTCATTTAACTTAATACAATTATAATTTTTGATAATGTATTTAAGCAAACGTGTATCAAGCTGACTGTTTGAATTACTACTAGATTGAAACCCGTAGTAATTATTTATTTACTATACATTAATTATTATTTAAATAGTTTCTATAAATAAGAAAAATAAAAAATATAGTAATTAATATTCTTCTAATTAATGTATATATTAAAATAAACAATGCTTTATTTAAGAAGCATTATTTATTTTCTAACACATTGTTTAATTCATTTATATAATTTGTTATATTAATTTTTACGATGTCAATTATTACACTTTACAATAATTAAATCAGAAATGATTGCTTATTAATTTAAAAAAAAAATGTGGTCATTACATATAAATATTAATTTTAGTATATTTAGCTATGGAGATAGTCTTTAAAATTAAACTTAATATTAACTGTACTATAGAGAATTAGTACTGTCATTAGTAAGTTATCTCGTTTTACTAAAAATACAATATTATGGATATATACATATATATTAAATTAGTTATTATACTTTAATCAGAAGTTTTATCCGTAATATTTTGATATCGGTTTTTAATTATTTATTGTTTGTTTGTATGCTTAATTTTCTCCTTAGGTTAACAATAATTAAGTAAATACGAAAATTAATCATTCTATCTCCACAAAGTTTCGATGTATAGTCATGTAGTTAATTATATATTCATTTTATCTTACTTTGTCTTTTCTCGTCTTCCATTGGTTCTTTTTTCATAACTGTTCAAAAAACTTTACATTCACATTTAGTAATTGAATTAATTTATTTGCTAATAAAAACAAGTGTCTTTACATTTTTAATGTTAATTACTTATTTTTACTCTAATTTTTTAGAAATAATAAATGTATTTGACTCTCTTATTTTAATACATAATTGAAGATTTAAAAAAATAATAAATTTCGAATTAAAAATTAATAGAGGCCAACATATATATTTATATTTTGTTTGAAGATTCCAAATAGTTAAATATTATTTAAGTAATGTTTTTACTATACAAATCGTATAATAAATTAAACATGAAGCAGCATATCGATTGTTGATAAAAGTATTTAAAATTTTCTCAATTTTCGTTCAACTATAATTATTATATTATTATAACTATAAAGCTTAATACTCATGGTAATTTTAATAAATAATATAAATATATAGATATTGGAAAAATGAACACGATCTATTAATAATCAACAGGCATGTATTGATAAGTAGTGGTCCAAATTTAACTTCTGAGCAATGGGATGTGTGTGGGGTGGCCTGCCATCGAGCCTGTTTCAACTCTTTGCAAGAATTACATCAGTTGACAATGGCTTTCTCCCCGTGCTCTGAATCATTTTATGGAGATATTGCCAAGATTAAGGTGGCTGTTCGTAGCGATGCTACGCCGGAAGAAACTGAGCGTTTACATCAGCTTGCTACACAGGTAGAGCGTTTCTACTTATAAAAAAACCGACAGGTTCATAAAATGTTTAACTTTGTAGAAAATGTTTTTAAGAGATCCAGACTTAGACTGAAAATTGTATATTATACAAGAGTCAATGCTACAATATGTGATTCTTGACTTAGTTTCAATAGTTATATCAATACAATATAACTATCGTTGATAATATTCTTTATTTTTAAATTTTGTTTCATATGAATATATAGATAGAAATTATGTATCGTACAGTTTTCTATATAATTTATAAATAATATAATTATGATTTGGATATATATATATAGACAAAATGAAAGTCAATATTATTTATTTCTATTAATGTTTGTCTAAAAGTTTTGTTTGTTATTTAACTAATAATGTTAGATTAATAAACAAAAAATGAAATATAAATATAAAAAAAATAATGGATCAAAGATGAATTATTTAATTATATTTCAATAATATTATTACAGTAATAATTATAGTTATATTATTAAGTAATATTATTTATTTTTATATATTTAAAAAGATATAAATTAAAATCAATGAATTTTGTAAATTCAGCTTTGTGAATTTATTGAAAATACAAAATTTTATAAATTTATTTTATAAGTATTATTTTTTTGTATTATTTTTCTATGCAATTAGAAGGAATAATTATTCTAAAATATAATTTTTAAATAAAAAAGTAAAAAAAATTTTCTAATATTCCTAAATTCATTAAATTTTATAAATAAAATATTAATTAATTAAAAATGTAAATAAATAAAGTAAATTGTTATAAAATAATTAAATATATTATAAATAAATAATATATATATAATTATAAAAATATTATAAAATAAAGTAATATAATTAAATAAATTAAAAAATATATTCTTAAATAAAATTTAAGATAAATTTAACTATTTACAATTTATTGTAATATGTATTACATATAAGCTATAAATGTATTTATATTTTTTTAATTCGTGTGA